TAGTAAGTGAGTATCTCGTATTATCAGAACCCGGGCTGAATGAATCCCGTAATCCATATCCCCGTAATATAAGGGATAATAAATGTGTGTCCTGTACTACAAGAACCCGGGCTAAATGAATCTCATAATTAATATCCCCTTACAATAAGGGATAGTAAATAAAATTCTCTTACTAAAGGGGTGAGCTGAATAAAGCTCATAAAGTTCAATTCCCTTATTAAAGGAGTGACGACCTGAATAAAGCTTGTATAATTTATTCCCTTACCAAGGGAAGATTACCCAAGGGTACTAAAACTAGTACCCAAGGGTACTAAAAATAATACCCAGGGACAAAGCACCCAAAGGGAAGATTACCCAAGGGTACCAAAAATAGTACCCAAGGGCAGAGTACCAAGGGTACCAAATATATTACCCAATAAAAGATTACCCAAGGGTATCAAAAACAGTACATAGGGACAGAGTACCCAAGGGTACTTGTAATACCCCTAATTTCAAAATAATAGTTCTGGTATTTAATTTATTATTTAAGTGCATTTTATTTATTTGTTTTGTTTTATTTTGTATGATTATTTGCGTAATTGATTAATTGTTTAAATTGTGTAATTTATATTATTAATTAATGCTTGTTTAATTGGTTTAATTGTTTAAATTGGTTTAAATTGTTTAATTTAGTACCTGCTAAATTGTCAATTATATTACTTGTTATTTTAATTAGTTAATTAGTTAATTGATTTAATGTTTATTTATTTTCTTTATCGTAACTTAGGGTTTTAGGATTCAATGTGGCCGACTCATAGTTAGAACGGGAAATAGGGTTTCATTAATTGAAGCCTATAAATATATAAGAATACTGGGGTTTAGGGTTTTAGAAAACATAAGCTTAAGTCTGTAAAACAAAGAATCTCTACTTCCGTGTTGAGAAACGGAGAGTGAACGTGGGGGATTAGCAAAGCTGTTCAAGGGAGAACTCAGAGACGTGGAATTAGAGTTTCAAATCTGAGACTCAAAGGCAAGTTCAGTTTTACTATATCCCTTTAATCTGTGTTCTGTGCATGCCTGGGTAGACTCCAGGGATTGAATAAAGGTTAAAACAGATTAAACGAATGTTATAACACATCAATTATGCATGCTTAAACAATATTTAATTTCATTGAATTATTTGTGGTGCGTTGCTTAAAAATTTCTAAATGAAAACTTGTTGCCGTTGCTTTAAAAACTGATGTTTAATTCAAGTCTTGGTTATATGTTATTGTCTTATGATCGATAGACTCCAGGGATTAAACTAAGTCTTAATTACATATTTTATACATGTTTAATCAGTTTTTAGAATCATTGAATTAATCTGTTTCTCAGTTGTTTAAAAGTTCCGTTTAAATCTGGTTGTCGTTGCTTTAAAATATAAGGTTTAATTAAATTCTTGGTTGTATAATTCTGTCATGTGATCAATCTGGGATCACATGACACCTAGGGGTGAGAGTAGGCTCCAAATGAGGAAGGAGCCTGCTCCCACCAAGCTAGAGCCGGCTCTCCTTGCAACAGAGCAGGCTCTTAAGTTTAAGAGCCTGCTCTCGCTTTTAAAAACGTTAAAAAAAATTGATTTTTGGGACGATTTGGCTAACTGGGTTTTTTCAAAAACTGTTTAAAGGCTACTGGATGGTGTAAATCATTGCTAAAGACTTATAAAAATGTTAGGAAGCATGGTTACATTTAAATAGGGAGGATGGAATTAACACATGGTTAAACAGTGTACCCGTGTATAGAAGATTGGATAAATAAATTAAAATTGCCGACTGTTCTAGATATTTTTATTTCTTTGGATGGTGTAATTCATTGCTAAAGACTTATAAAAATGCTGGGAAGCATTGTTACATTTAAATATGGAGGATAGAATTAACATATGGTTAAATAGTGAACCGTATAAGGAGGATTGGATAAATAATTTAAATTGCTTATAGTTTTAGCAATTTTTATTTTTCTGCATGGTTTTAAAATATGAATCATGTTTCAGCCGTGATATGGGCATATAGTTGTTTAAATATATGTCTGCTTAGATGGAATTAACTGATGTTAAAACTTGTTATACATTGCATCAGTTATGGTACTGATTGGAGGAGTTGATTTCGTAATCTTACTTTATCAGTTTCAAGGACCAGAATATGATTTATAAATCTTATATTGGACGCATAATTTGATTACACACATGTTGAACTATATATATGTTTATTTTGGGATGTGGTTGATGAATGTTTTATATTGTTTCGTCAACCATGTTAGCTGGAGGATAGTATGCACCGGTATGGGACGGTAGCATACTCGGTATGGATTAGTTCAACACTAAGTCTAACCTAAAATGGATTAAGGTGTGGATTAACCATAAAGGTTAAGTCCAACTCCTGTTGGTGTCAGGTCAGTAAATAACTGAATGACATAACTTGGTTTACGGGATGGATTGTTATACATATGTAATACCACTATACAAGATGGGTGATATTTTATATTAGGAGGATACGGACTTTATATATATATGATATGGTACCATGGTATGAGTTTGAGTTTCAGGACCATGGTTAGGGTGCGTATATCGCATAGGATGGATAGCTGGACAGTAGTTGCTGTTCCCTGGTAGGTCTAGGTACACATGACCACATTATGTGCGATTTGCATGGTATCTTTACTCAGGCTGAGACAGACCTATTGGACTAGTGAGCGTCCTATAGTGTGTATTTATACATATATGGACTACTCTAGATAGTATTGAGTCTATCTAGGATGTATCTGCGTATCAGATTCCTGTTTGGATCGTAGTAGAATAGGACTTGCATGTGGGCCTGACCCACTCTCTTATTTTTCAAGTGCTCGTCAGTTCCAGGGTTAGAGCTTGGTTGTGCAGAGCAGATACAGACTTCTATTCCACCGACTACGTAGGACTGCTTACTTATTAGCCTTGGATCGTACTTTAGTTATTTCATTTTACAGTTGGGATTTTTTATTAGGGGTCCACCAGATGGATTCCCGAGTTGTTAATTAATTGGAGGTTTTGGAGTTTAGATTTTAATAATTATATTTTGAGGATTTTTCCATTAGAATTCATTTCAGCCATTTTTATTTATTTCTTATTCTTTAATTTTGTGAGTGTTCGTGTTAAAATGTTAATTGTTTAATATTTCTCTCGAGTTTGGGCCTAGATCTGATGAACCCGTGTCTCGGATCTGAAGGGTATCACAGTACTATAAATAGTATCCAGGGGCAGAGCATCTAAAGGAAAGATTACCCAAGGGTACCAAAAATAGTATTCAGGGACAGAGTAACCAAGGGTACTAAAAATAGTATCCAGGGGCATAGCATCCAAATGGAAGATTACCCAAGGGTACAAAAAATAGTACCCAGGGACAGAGTACCTAAGGGTACCAAATATATTACCCAAGGGTATCAAAAACAGTATCAGGAGCAGAGTACCCAAGGGTACTAAAATTAGTACCCAGGGGCAGCGTACCCAAGGGTACCAAAAATAGTACCCAAAAGAAATGTACTGTTCCAAGAGCAAGGAAAAAAAAAAAAAAAAAAAAAACTGTTACTGTAGGGAACAGTAGGGCAAGGAAAAAAATAAAAATAAAATTTCCTCACTGTTTAATGAATAGTACCCGCGGGCACTATTTCCGAGGGAACAGTGCCAGGGGCAAAAAAAAAAAAAAAAAAAAAATCTTACATTCCCAAAGCTAGATGAGCAAGCTTGGGAATGGGGGGCAACTGATAGAGAAAAATAAACCTATCTTGACCTAATAGTAGAGGCAATCAAGTGTTGACCAGCCGCCAGATATTTTAGGTGATCAACGATAATATTTTGTTATTAGTGGTAACGATTTCCATAGATAAGAATGATGACAAATCTTATGCAGGATACGATTTCCATGGGGATGATGACAAATCTTATCAAGGATAAGATTTCCATGGGATAAGGATGATTAAATTCCCTTATCGAGAAGAAGGGAAACGACAATAAATAGGACGACGACTCGGGAATAAGGTACGACGAAAAGAACTATTATTAAATCCCTGCCTTCTTTTTAGACCTCCGGTGACTAACTTGATCATCGGAGAGCTCTTGGCTGGCACTACACCGGTGCTGTCAAGGTTCATCTATCTTCTTCTCTTTCCCTTGCACGTAAACGGTGTCGTATCGGACCGTGTGAATTTCACCCTCAATACCATGCTTAAGTAAAATTTAAACAAAAAAATACAAAAAGTTAAAAGTATAAAATTTCAAAACTCACATGTTATTTCAAATTATGAAAGTCGATGGTTCAAATTTTTAGCTTATAAATCAGATATTGATGTTGTTTTTGTATGAATTTAGGTATTTATTTATTTCATTCCGGTAAAATAAAATGTCAATCCCATAAAAAAAAAATTAAAAAAAAATGTACTTTAACTTTTTTTAGGTGTAGGGTTGCCCCCACTATACAGCGGGTGAGTCGAGAGAATCTTAACAGGGGAAGGCTCGAACCTGGGCCGAGTGATGATCCAAGCCAACACTTTACCATCACTACTAGGCCCAGGCTAACCAGCATGTTTTTGTTAATGAAAGAATCATATTCTTCAAGTTTTTTTCTTACCGAAATTTTCATTGTTCAAAACTGTTTAGCATTAAATTGTCATTAATCATGTTCTACACCAAAATTCACATTGTTCAAGACTGTTTAATAAATTATCATTAATCATATATATTTTGTTCTTACCAAAATTTATATTGTTCAAAACTGTTTAATAATAAATTATTATTAATAAAATATTTTTAATGACAAATAATGAAGATCGTATGACAAATAATGAAGATCGTTGATCAATAGTCGTACTATTTTAATGCTTATATTCTCATGTGACTTGACTTTTACAAATTTCGAACTCCCACTTCGTCATTAACACAGGTAATTTCATGAAATGACTGAGACGTGGCTTACCAAAAGAAAACCAAAATAGAAAAAGAAAAACGCGAAAGAATTTGGCTTTAGGCCCTTGGCCTTTGGCCTTTCGCGTTTCACAAAATGGGGTTTTTCGCTCCTTTTCATACAGAGATGAGAGATTGAAGCGTGAGCGGAGAATCCAAACATCGTTGCCCCTCCTCTCTTTCTCCCCCCCTCTCTCTCCCTCTCCTCTCCTCTTCTCAGCAAAAAAAAAACTTCATCTCTTTCTCTCTCTAACTTTCTTTCTGCAGTCATCCTAAGCGTTACATGTAGATGGAACCTCCTCTACTACAAGGTTATCGGCGAGATCGTCGCAAGCTTCTCGAATTCATATTATCATCAGGTCTCATCACAGAAATTCGAACGCCCTCTGGTCTCACCACCTCTATCTCCCACATCGATATCGATCTTCTCAGCGCCGATTATGTCCTCCAATGCATACAATCCGGTAAGCATATATGTAATTGATGGTAAGCATTTATGTAATTGATGGTAAGCATTTATGTAATTGATTGAATTCTGAGTTCAGTTCTGATCGGATAAAGTTGATACTATTTTGTTTGCAATAAGGTGAAGTACTTGACATATCGGAAGCAACTAAGAAGTACTACGATGAATCTGCATATCCAGTAATGGTAAGGAATGAATCTATCAGGTTTAATGCGTAAACAAAGTTTATATCATTTTCCTTTCCCAATTGTAGGTATATTATTTGTTACTGTACTAAACTACTCCGTAATTAACAAGTATATACATACATACATATATATATTTATTTATTTTTTACATTAGAATATATGTTAACAAGTTATGCTATGCTGAAGTATGACGAACTTTTCCTTTTGGATAGTGTTTGTATTTTTTAGGTTATGCATTGAAGGGTTTTGTGAAGATAGAATTTCATATTGTGGTTAGCTGATTTGTTACAATGGTTATTTGTTTTGGATGTGAAATAAAGTTAATAGACTGCAGTTTCTTGTTGTATGGTAAAAAGCTCGGGCATACTTGTTCAAGTATCAAAGCAGTCACTTTGTGTGAAATAAAACCAAAGGGTAGGCACGTTTAGTCTACCTCTATCTCTCCGAAGATATAGTAAATGCATTAACTGAAGCCTAAAAATAAACTTCATTAAATATTTGTTAAATTGCAATCTAAGTACCTATTTTAATAATTCATATTGTTCTTAATAATTTACAGTTAAACTTAATAACACATTTAAAGGAGAAGAAATAAATTTGAAAGATTATTCATATGTAAGAAAGAGGAGGATGAAGAATAATATTTATTTAGGCAACAAGAAGAAGAATAAAAGGAGATGGCATCTCCGCCCAGAGGGAAAAAAATAATCATATTGACTAGTAAAAATCTTTTTGACGACTAAACTTATATCTGAACTATTGGAAGGCGTAAGGGACACATGAGGCATTAACATTATCAGGAAGGAGGAAAACAATAACAAAAAAGAACACAAAAGACACTGCTAGCTCGCTAACAGCCAACTACAAAGAACCTGCTTGCTGTCATTTAATGTCTATTTTAGAGAATATCTTTAAATTAATAGTGTGTGTGTGTGTGTGTAATTTGTCTTTTCTGTGAGTGCATATATTAGCTAATATGAAGCCAATTGAATCTGAAGGACCTTTCTTCAGCCTCTTATTAGCTTTATCTTATTGGATTCTTGTTTTGCGGTTTGCTTTTATGTCTTCTGCATTCTTTTGACAAAGGTATCCTACTTTAATAACTGTCATTCCCATGATTGATGTTTCTTTTACAGTAATCCTTTTAAGTACACAAGGTTGTTAATTTCCATAGGTTTTGGTAAATTAAATGTTTTGATGATTACACTGATGCAACCATGGAAAGTTTAAAGTTTGAAATCATATTTCTTGTGGGATGCATTCTCCTTTATGCATTTCCTTTGGTGAACTGAGTTCACTTGAAATTGTAATGGCTGTTTGATGTATGAATGAACAGTTAGCAATAAAAATCTTTAAAATTTTTGTACCTAAATTTGGTTGTCAAAATAATTTGATATTCTACCATCTCTTTTGTTGTACATTTTATTGAATTTGTGTTTTTGAATTGGCAAGGCACAAAATTTTAAGTGTTTCAACAATACTTCAAACTGGATTGGTACCTTTCAAGGTAGCAATTTATCTCTTAAACCAGATTACTTCTTCCATTAAAATAATAGTCTATTTTTAAAAAGTACACAAATTAATTGAAAATTGCATTAGACATATTAATAGTAAACAGTTTTAGTGCAGTATACGCTTTCATGTTTTGTCATTATTTGTGGTCTGTTTTTTTACTTCATAGCAAAAATGTCTTGTTGGAAACTGAGTAGAAAGTGATAACTACTCATTCTGATTATGGAAAATAATTGGGACATGTAAACAATGAAATGTGAACTATTCTTTTTGGATGAAGTGATTTTTTCTTATCCTTTTCCCCGCCTTTTTGTTTTGGTAGATACACTCTCAATTAGGGGATTCCTATTTTCTTCTTTCTGATCCTAAATCAGCTGGATCTCCTCCTCGGCATGTGCCTCCTCGAATTGAGGTCAACCACGCTAGTGATCATGCATCAACTCCATCCAGTCGAGTTGGTCAAAGGACAAGAGACACTTCTGTATCTGGGGACGGCGCAGTCACTGCCGCTACAGCTTCAAAGCCCATGGAAAATATAACTGTCCCTTCATTAGGATTACCTTCCTTGAGTACAGGTAAGAGTTGGTTTGATCTTTATATCCTTAATGAGTTGTGACTAGGAAAAATGAGATGAACTAAAGGTTGATATATGATGTAGTCTTCTTCTTCTTCCTTTTTTTTTTTTTTGGTGAACAATTTATTTGGTCTTCTAGATACTGCATCTCATTATTGTCTGGTTTTAGTATTTGTTTCCTCGGATCCCTGGACTTCCATTTTTGAGTAAACTGATATGTAGTTTTAGGATTTCAAAAGGATTATCCGATGACGACTTGCGTGAATCAGCCTATGAAATATTGCTTGCATCTATGGTATTTTGTGGGTAATCTCTCTGACTCTCTCTCTCATTCACTCATGCATGAACACCTATTAATTGCACCAGTTTCTGTTTGTCATACATCTCTCCACCTCTGATCTGCTTGAAATATCATATATTTCTCTTTTCCTTTCTCAACCCTCTGCTCGTTGCTGATTCAGGGTTGAAATTCATTCATTTGAGGATAGAAAGAAAGAGAAGGGCTCCAAATTTCTATCTAGCTTGAAGAGTAGAAAGGATAAAAGACATCTGCAATATCAGTCTCCTGATAGGCATCCAGAGCTCATTGACACCATTCGCGCCCAGATGCAGGCAAACTATAAGTCCTTTACTTTTTTAATATGAGCAATAATTATTATGCCTTGATATGCCATCAACATAAGAAAAAATTTCACAATAGGGTGCCATTGTTTTCAGTCTCTTGATTCACATGCTATCAAATTTAAAGTTAGTTTACCATTTGTGGTACTCGTTTTCATGGAAAGGTATCTTTGATGTTCAATACTTATCAACTAGCTGATAATTTCATTTCACTAAAATCTGCTTGTTTGGGGGCAGCTTAGCTACTAAAGAAACCTTCTATTTTACATTGAATGCTGCATTTTTGGTACGAGTGCAACATAGACAGGGTAGGACAGCACGGTGAAAACTTCATAATGGCGCCTAAGATTGTTTATTTGGTGGCCAAAGGTTAATGGTTGCTTGTATGCTTAGTGTTCTAAAGTTGGGTGTTGTGGATGGGAAAGTTTGAAATTGGCTTTAGTTCTGAAGGTGATAGGTTGCTGAATTTCTAAAATTTTGTCTCAAACTTTCTGGGGAAGCAACTGTATTAAGGACTTGGGTGTCATGAAGAGGGTTATGAGTGGCATTGCACAATCTTTTAAATCTTCAAAAGATTTTGGAAAATTCTCTAAACTGACCCGTTCATTTAATTAGAAGAATAAGTTGATGTTTATAGGCTACTGTTTCGCTCTTAATTCTACTTGAACCTTGACTCCCTAGTGGGAAACTTTTGATTCCATAAACTATTCCAAACCCACATCAGGGCACACATGAAGGCCCAAAAACCTCACTTAACCCATCTACTAAAACTCAGGGGTTTTTACTAGTGCTGAGGCCCAAATGAAAATTATAATTTTGTCTTAGACTCTCATTATTACTTAAAATAATAAACAAAATCGAACTAGCAGCATCCTAACTTAGGACAAACGTTAGATAAGACTTGGGTCAACCAGAAATAAATTACACAGGGTCTTAAGTGGCTGGCTCATGAAATCTCCTTCTTGCTACTTCTCGTGGACAAGTACTCTGTTTCAGGAACTTTGATGTAATATGCACATGGAAATTGATACTTCTACATAAATTCTATAATTCTAATAAACAAAACAACAAACTTCTCTTTTTTATTGCAGATGCTGCTTTCAATGAAATAGGCTGTGGCTGGCCTTATGCACCTCTTATAAAGATACTCAATTTTCCTGCTGCTATTTTGATTGAAAAGAAAAACTTCAATTTTGAACATGCCTTATTGGTGGAAAAATTATTTTTTGAATTCTTATATTTCAAATTTGATCTTTAGAATGTTTGATGCATTTTTTTGAATTTTTTTTACCATATACTACTATATCAATCTCTTTATTTTCTTTTACTTTTGGTCAAAATCATGACCATAGCCCTTAACATTTATTTATTGGATAAAGATGTTAAGTCTTCATTTTTTTTTTTTTTTTCAATTATTTTAATTATTTTTTATTTTTTTTATCTGATATATCTGAGAAGAATTGAAGGATTTTTCTAACAGAAAGCTTCTTGTTGCACTTGTTGAATAGTAGCAATTTGGATTTATTAAATTTTTTTTTTCCAACTTTTGGGGTTTTGAATGTGCTGACTTGATGAGGAAAATACACGACATATGACATATCAAATCACAGAAAGAACCTTTGTAATGCTATTCATTGTGCATTTTCACAAGCCTTTGTTTGTAGATGTCACTCCATCACTTGTTTTATCTTGTTTCTGGATGTCTAACCTTTTTGGTTTATAAATAGCACTTGAAGTTCAATGTAAATTTTCAAAAGATGGTTAAGGTCCTGATATAGAGATATTGATAATGCATCGGTTTCTGATGCTTGCTAGAAGGAAAAGCATACAGTCTGTGAGAACTCGAGGAAAATGAAAAATTACTGAAACTCAGCAGAATTTTAAAAAGTGGCCTAAATATGTATTTAGAAATCGCAATATTGCAAAAGAAATTTCATGCATCACAATTTTCAATTTTGTCATAGTCAGACCCTTGGTAGTAATACATATTTCCTTTTGGTAATTGGTCTTTGTCATAATTCAAACAGAGATAATTAATCATCGCATAAGCATTCATATAACAATGAATTACTTTCATCACACAGACCCAATTTTTTTCATCAAAATTGTTCTAAATATTTTATTATATGAAATAAAGAATGACTGGTGATTGGAAAACTGAGGCAGATAAGATCGGTGATAAATGAGAAGAAATGCTCTTATAAAGAAGTGGTGATAATATTGAACTTTCAAGAAACTCAGAAAGAAGAAAAAATGATTTGCAATGTAGGTGATGTGTTGACACAATAGGAATTAGTTGGATACTGAACTCATACTCACATGACATTGCATATTTAAGACTGAACCGAGAAAGAAAAAAATCACATGGACATATCAATTCATATTCAGATACACAGGATGAGTTATTTGACCAAATCAGGTTGTTAATGAGAATATTGATGATATATTGATAAATGTTTGTATGTGTTAATAGATGTGTTGACATACCAACCTATCAGTAATTGCAATGTATACCATGGATTTTATACTCAATCAGTGTTGGTGGATGCATAAAAAGTTATGTCTAAGCCAAATGTGATGCGTTTCCTTGTCCAAATACCGTGTTTTATGCATATTTGTGGTCCGTTTGATACAAGATAACTTTACTGTTATTGAGGTGTTAAAGCCTTGGATAAAAGTTTAGTTATACTGATCCGTGTAGTTCCACCTTTTCTTAAGAGATTTACTACCGCCTCCAACTCCCATAAAGGAAAAAGAAAAGAGGGGGGCCCGGGAGAGGGCCGGGTGTGGAAATCTGTAGTACCTTTGATTCAGTTGATTCATTTCTGTAAATAGCATTTTGAACTCTTTATTCGTGGAAAATCAATCTTGATAGTTTGTTTCAATTTATCAATCAGCCAAGATGAAGGATTGCGTGAATTTCATTTTTTTCCTGACGTTAATTAGTTTGCTAGATATTGTTCTGCTTAGAAATAAGTAATTGGTTTTCCTTTACTAGATTTCAGAAGCAATGGATGTATGCATCAGGCAAAGGTTGATGCAATTTGCTTCAAGAGAAACTTGTGGAGAAATTGATGTCTTGCTAATCTCCTTGGGGCTCTTAAATGGCATTTCCAGGTCCAAATTTCTCAATGAAAAGTCATACATGCAATGGAAGAAGAGACAGGTAATGATTATCACTATTTCTTGTTTTGTCATGAGTTCTTACTTCTGAGAGAGAAAGTTGCGGGAACCCTATATGTCAGGATATATAATCGAAGTTCCTTTCATTTTGGTCGAATTAGTTAGACACCTATTGTAGTGTGGCAGTCATATCCCTTCTAATGGGTAGATTACTTAGACAAGCGTACTGTTTTAATGATGCAATAAATACGGAGGTGAGTTGTGGTGTTCAGACCTTGGCCACCTCACAATATACCAGTCCTAGCCTAACTGGACCGACCTTAGACTTATGTAGATGAACCCGAGCAGCCAGCTTAATCCTATTACGGAAAGTTAAGCCAGGCAGAAACCTATAAATATTATATATAAAAAATTATTATAAAATTAGTACAAATCAACAATATAAATTAACTCTTATTTGTTTGGAAGTAACCTAAAAGTTAATATTATTCTTACATCATTGTCTGTGTTGGGCTGGACTTAAGTTATCGATAGCCTGATCCAGAAGTCAGCTGGTCAAGAATCTCGGCTCCCAGGCTTGGTGTAGAGGCGTGAAAGGGAGGCCAATTCCCGCTGATGGCCCATAGTTATTTTTAGTTGTAATTGAGTGCAGAACCTATGGAAACAGCTAATGTAATTTGGGTCAAGCTACAAGATATTTCTAATTAGTTTACCCAAATGAGGTAACCAGATTGTGCCAACGACGACTGGTTCTAAGCATTTCTCGAATTTTAATTGTGCCTTACTGGGTGTTCAAGGAATCTATAGTCTTTATATGTTTCCAGTTTATCTATCTAACTTGCGAATTACTTTCTTGTAGGCAAATATTCTTGAAGAATTGTTTTCTTCTGCTAATCATATAACTGAACAACAAACATTAGGAATTTTACTTGCAAAGATCAGAAATGCAAATGTAAGTCACCCACTTGGCATGTTTTAAGGACATTAAAATAAATTCATTACTTGACCTACTAGTTTTATTTTGTATTGTAGGAATGGGACATTATAATGTCACCTTCTGAACGTGCTGAGGTTCTTTTAGCTATTAGACAGGTTGCTTCAGTATTGTCATCCAGGCCCGGACAATTTGGTCTCGGTTCCTACTACTGGACTTCTGTCTATCACTTAAACATCAGGATTTATGAGAAGCTACTTGTTGGCGTATTTGACATTCTGGAAGAAGGTCAGCTCATAGAGGTATATGTTCACTTCATGTTTATTCTCTTAAATGTGTAATATTTGCTGGTATGTTAATTTTGATTGATATTGAAAGCTATTACTTGGGTTCTATATTAGGAAGCTGATGAAATCCTAAAGCTTATCAGGTTGACCTGGTCTACTTTAGGCATTACTCAGAAAATGCATAATGCATTATTTGGATGGGTGCTTTTTCAACAGGTAAACATTCTATTTGAACTATTGCTTATCTAAGGTTGACATCTACATTGCAGATTTATTGTGGATGTAATTATAAAACTAAATTCCTTTTTCGTATGTACTCTATTTTGTGTTTCCCTTTTAATGTTTTATATAGTTTGAACAAGACAACGTTTGGGTACATGATTCCTGCAACATTCTTTTGAATATTTGTTAATTCATTGATGCCATCTTAAGTTGAATTAGATACTGATCATACTTTTTTTTTTATCGATTTTAGATGCTTATGTGGTTTGTCTGTGTAGAGAACATATACTGGGTATCATACACGTTGATACAGTCACAGACTATTTTTCAATCGCCTTTTCCTGGAAATTAGTTATTTTCAGAGTACAGTAAATACTTGACACTAATGTGGGTTAAAGACAATATATGAACTTACATAAATTACTAAGAGGAATGTGCTTCAGGGAGGTTGATGAAATTTTAATAAAATGATTGATGCCGGTGGATGATTGAAATTGGATTTAAAATTTGAAGGTTTGATGAAATTCAGGGGTTACTGGAGTGGCTTATTATTCTCTATAGTTGTCCCGAAGCAGTGCAGAATTAGTGCTTGAGTTAAGAGGTTATGTAGCATAAAAAGTGGTCATCGTAGTCAAGAATTGTGAGAAAGCATCTAATTTCAGATCATTGAGGATATACTTGATAGTTGTAATCATCTACTATGATTCCAAATGCATGTCGTTATGTAGTGGATCATGCAGTAGTGCTTCAGTTTTCTCCGAATTGTTGAAATATCCATCAATGTGTTCAGTAGCTAAGTTTATTGATTAATATGCACAAACACACACCATTAACATTATCTTACTGTTGTAATTTGGTTTAGTAGTAACTAGATCGAAATGAAAGGTAAGGATGATTATGATGACAATTTCAGTTTACTATGTTACATGCTGCTTCACAAGCTTAGTTAATTTGTTTTTCTCTTTACATAAATTGATTTAGAAAAGAATCTTGGCACTGCCAAGTGTGAAATTTTTCTATCAGGTGTCTTAGGCCATTCAGTTTCAGCATCAGTGACATTGTGTCCCTGATGCAACTTCTGTAATTTAAGCTAGAACTTACTGAAATTTCAGAATTTACTCTACTAAATATTAATAAAATTTCTTGGAAATATTGTCTTTTCATTTTGAGGATGATGCAGAAATGTTATTTCTAGAAGGAACTTTTTGTACGTCGTTATGTTGCATTTTGATTTTTTGGAAATTATGAATGGCATTTCATCTATAGATGCATTCTTTGTAATATACGAATTACCTATTTGATGTTGGGAGTTTTTTTTTTTGTTTATTAGAGTCATCTGTTTTTATACATTTCTTTATGATTCACAAAATTTCAAGAAAAGTAGTTATACTCTATAACTTAAAAATTGACATACTCTTGAATATGAATATATCAAAATGTTGGTATCTTGATTGTTGACATGTTTGTTGTCATCTGAATTGAAACGTTGCTGCATAGTTTGGTTAGAATTGATCTTCTGATGAAGTTTATGCAACTGGGTTGATACAATCTAGTGTCTCTCTTGATACTAAGTATTTTGGTGATGAACTTCAGAAAATTGTATAGTCCAGGAGGGGTGCAAAAAAGGTGTGGCAGTGGGGGTTTTACAAGTCACTGTAGCTTGAAATTTTTTGTTCTTGGGTGGGGCTTCTGGGTGGCAAATATTGTTCCAATGGAATTAGGAGATATTTATATTATAATATTGTACATAATTCAGACTGAATATACGGAAATAGAGCATTTATATTTGGCTGTTAGTATAAGATTTGATTTTCATTGGGCTCCTGTTGATTAGTTTAACATCGATCTTGTGGGGGATAAAAAAAAAATCTGTATGTTTTACATCCCTACTTCCATTTTTTTTTCAAAGCATGAGTCACTGGTAAACTTAAATTTATCAGATTATTGAAAAACATATTTCAGCCTTTGTGTTTTATCATTGTATCCAACAGTCTCACCTTTGCTTTTTTGATTGTAAGATTAAGTGAATGCTATTTATTCTAGTTGTTTTGTAATGTACTTTTTATATACGGAGTATTAATTTTAGTTGTAGTTTCTGAGGCATTTTATTTCTATGGAAGTTTGTTGGGACAGATGAGGCAGCTCTACTAGATCTTGCAATTCTCGAAGTACAGAAGGTTCTATCTGCTGAAGGTACTGATGGGAAGGAACAGCAGTATATGAACAGCCTTATCTGTTCAACTGTATGCAATGGCAGTGAAATAAAACCCAGTTTGGTGCAGGCTATTCTTTTGTCAATGAGCATCTGGTGTGACAGTAAATTGAAAGATTATCATCTGCATTTTAGTCAGGTCTATTGCTGTTTCTGGACATAATTATTTCATAATTTGTTTCAATGTTTCTATGGACTGTTTATAAAATTGCCTTTACTCCTAGGTTCTACTCATTTGCCAATCTATCATCATCATTTCATTGTCGGCGGACCCTTGTGCTTTTATTTTGAAAGATACTCTGTCTAATGATAGGATTTTCTTTCAGAAAACTGGATTATTCGGGAGGATGACGACCATGGCATTAGCAGTTGGAAATTATAGTTTTGGTGAACATAATGAAATCAAGGTTCGTCTTTGTTTAGTGGAATAATCTTACTAAAATGCCTTACTATTAATAGTTGTTAATTATTAGATTCATCATTACAAGCAACTTGCTGTTTAACAGAATCTCGAGTCTCAATTAATAAATATAAGAGAGTGGATGTATGGTAATGGTAATTTTAGCATCTAGTCATATAACAAAATGCATAATCAAATAAAGTATATTTTTTTTTCCTAGTTGGTACTCACACACACTACCTCCACTGAGGTTCGAACCCCTGACCTCCCTTTGGAAAGTAGAAGCCTTGTATCGCTAGGCCACAGGCCTGTTGGTATCAAATAAAGGATATCTAAATAGTCATGCTCTTAAATTTTCCTTTTCACGCTTCCTCTTCTTTGATCTCAATGGTTCTACCTTATCTATTCTTAAAATTTATTTAATGAGGAAAAATTCTCACCCTTGCAGTCAACAAAATCTGATGCTTCAAGTGAAATTGCTGCTAGAAAGCTCAGAACATATGTTGAAAGGTCCATTGAGGCTGCATGCTGGCGGGTGGGTCATGGTATCTATGCTATTTCATCAGTGGTGTTATATGAGGTTCACCCGTTACCTTAATAATTTCAGGTAGCAGATATCTTAGATCTTGAATCTAAAATAGAAAGGACTCACCCTTTGGCTCTGCTTGCAAATGAACTGAGATTGATTGCCGAGAGAGAGCTCAATGTATTCTTCCCGGTGTTTCGTCCTTGGTATCCTGAATCTTCGATGGTCTCAGCCGTCCTATTGCACCAATTTTATGGAGAAAGACTGGTTTGTTTCTGTTCATCCATCTCTTTGCAGCTGGTGACCTTTACTGGATTGCTTGATTTCTATCAATTCGGCCTCTTTTTTTATTATCTGTAGAAACCATTCCTCGAGGGAGTTTCGTGTCTTTCTGAAGACGTTAGATTAGTGCTTCCTGCAGCAAATATGTTGGAACATGACTTGACAAAGCTTTATTCTTCTGCATGTGAGGGAAATGGGTTGCATTCCCCTTGCAGCCAACCATTTGACCTCTATCAGGTTAGGGTAATTTCGGAATCTTTAATTATGCATTGGTGATTCTTAATATTCCATACTTCCATATTTACTATGAACCTTGTGCATCTGTTCTTTATCCTATCTGTCTGGATGAATATTCTGTGATGTTTTATATCATATTCATGTAAAAATCAACATTTTGCTTGATGCAGTTATTGAGTCCATTGAGTCAATGGTCATTCTGTCTTTTGGATCAAATACCTCAAAGAACTTGTTAGCGCATCATGAAATTTTTTATGCATGTTGTTTGCACCTAGGCCTGACATGACAGTGGATGAAGACATGCTTTGGTTGTGTTATGATGTTTGGCTTGCTTTCCCCTTATCTTAATAAGAAGTCAGCATTAGCTGTTTGTCTCTTTCCTTTGTGTGCAGATTGGAGAAGTCTCTAGGCCAATTATTCTTGATTGGGTAATTGCTCAGAGTGAGCGTATCTTGGAATGGACTGGACGTGTTATCGTTCTTGAGGTTGGTTCCATAGTTTGTAGGGTCATGTAACCTATTACTGCAGTTTTATTAATTCTAATGGTTCCAACAATAACAAAATAGGGGATGAATAAGATTAGAACAGATCAGAGAACAATAGCTGACAGACGGTATTTGGATTCCTCCGTCTCTTGTGCAAAATATTTAATTTCATGAACAATTGTGGGTGAATAAGATTAGAACAGATCAGAAAAAAATATGCCGACTGATGGTATTTGGATTCCTCTGTCCCTTGTACAAAATACTTAATTTCATGAACAATTGTAATATTGTATTTGTGTGGTGAGAAAAGGTTATAGAACCTTTTTATTTATTTATTATTATTATTATTTTTTATTTATCTCTGTTAACTACACATCCTTTTAACTTGAAAGTTTTGTTGCCACTTGTACAGGATTGGGAGCCTCTATCAAATCAGCAAAAACAAGCAGCATCAGCAGTTGAAGTTTTTCGGATAATCGAGGAGGTATGAATTTTCAGTCGAGTTTTTCCCTTTTTTCTTTTTTTTTTCTTGTATATATATTATGTTTGTCTGTCCTTCCTTTCATATCCGCATTAGCATACAAGAGAAATTTCATCTTCATATCGTCAGAAGCCACTTAAACGGAGGTGATTGTGAATAGAGGTAGGTGGATTTGTTGGATTCTTACGATGGGCATACTTGGAGCTCACTTCTTAGCAATATGGGCACCATTTCTTGAGAATGCTTCTTAGGAGAGGTTTTGTCTAGATATTGATAACATTTTTCATTCTTTAGACAAATTTTTATTTAAGCTCTTTACAGCACTTTCTTGATTTCTCCGGAAAATTTCTTGTCTTTTCTAGCCATTGATTTTGTCAATCTGTCCTTCCTATTTTGCTACATTCTTCCTTGTACGATCTTTTATTTTAAATTGACATTCTGACTTCTTACTTTATTTTTTATCAGCTTGCCAAATAATTTTCTTGTAATTTGCAGACTGTGGATCAATTCTTTGGGTTGAGTCTTCCAATGGATATCACACATTTTCAAGCTCTACTATCTATACTTTACCATAGCTTGGACGGCTATTTGATTAAACTCGTCAGCCAGTTAGGTACTGTGCATGTCAAAATCTGCTAGACTGATAAAAATGGATGCCTTGCTATATGATTATTTCTCTTCCTTTAGGCTTATTTGTGAAGTCCACTTTTCTGTTCATTTGCATATAACTTCTTATTTGGAAGCATTTAGTTTTATACCTTCATTTAGTAACTGTTACATGCTACTTCACATGTATTTTTAACAAGACTATCCAGCGAGGGATAAAGTATTGCATACCTGTTTCTTTCAGAGTTTTATGATTTTAACTTCCAAACTTAACCCTTCTATATAGGGGATGTTTTAAAATGAGTGGAAGTATCCATGTCTATGAAGCTATTTTGCACAAATTTTATTTTACCTCAAGTTAATGATGACAATAAATTGCTATGGCGCTAATTTGTGGTGTCAACATGTTCTAAGATTTTCGGGTTAGACAAATCTGACACCTGGAGACATACTCGCGCACAATGTGCATGCTGAGCCCCTGTAACATAGTTGATAAAGAAAGCATATTATTACTACTCGTATCTCTGCCAAGTAGTATTGGAAAGCGTAGGTGATGCTTGTCCTCCCTTGGACTTGGTTGTAGCCAACTCTAGTTTTCTTTTTGAATTAGGGATCACATGTTGATTAGGGCAGAGTCACAGATTACCTTAAAATTAAGAAATATGGTTCCTTTTGTCAACTAAGAGTATGGTTATAGACTTGCTGTATCCAGTTGTATCTTTGTCACAGGGATCCAGTTGGAACCTGAAAGCTTCTCTTAAAAAAAAAAAAAAAAAAAAAAAAAAAACGTATAGTACTTGGCATTTGGGTTTGTTATGAAGTATTATATTGTAGGAGAAGGAATGAGAATATGTGCTGGTAAACTATAAGTGAGATAAATAGAGCAGTTGCAGTGTTTCACTTCACTAGCATAGGACGAATTATACAGTGATCTAGGGTCTTGCGGAGTCTAACCAGAAACCACAAGTCTATACATTGTTCATCAATTTATAGCCAGAACTGGAATGTTGTATGCTTATATGTAGCGTTGCAAAAGGCCATAAAAATTAACCACTTAAAAGCGAAGGATTTTGAGGAAGGTTATGAGGTAGCTAAATATTGAATAACCTACTAGATGTCATATAGGTGACAACTGGCGACCTACGAAGTATGTGAATTTCATGGATACTTTTGGTGCACATTGTGGAGTTTAGACACTCCACTTTTGACAAAAAATAAGAAAAAGTGGTTGTTAATTTGATTAGTTAACACAGAATGGGAATCTGGGATAATGCAACATTACAGTTGCTCAGTACTGCTTCATGGATCTCTCCGAATGACCAAAGTACCATTAGAGTAAGATGGCTAGAATGATTTTATTTATGCGGAATTTCAAATTCACAGACTTTGATAACCCAATTCAGTACGTAATTCTTAATGGATTAAGGGCTTATCAAATTAAATGTGTTTGATAAAGCATTTTGAATATCACTTAAAATGAATTCAAATTTTAAGTGACAGTGACTTCACCTATTACTGAATGCTGACTACTTAAAATCCAAAAAATTATCATAAAAATTTTCTCAAGCTACAATTGCTGCTTTAACTTCAGCACTTAAAATCAGCTTTTAAAGTCTTCAGTACTTAATTTCCAGTTTTATCAAACAGCACCTGAGACTAGTTTGTATAGAAAAGTTCAAGAGGATCAAGATGCATGCAAATTGACTGTTGTTTGCTGAAAATTGGGTAGAAATGAATGGAATTAAGAACTCCTGAAGGCCTGAAATGAAGACATGGAACGGTGTTAATAACCTGGCAAATTTGTTATTGAAGGACACATGTATTGGCATTCATGAACCCAATGTCCTTTCCACGGTTGCAAAATGTCCCCGAGACCTTCCTTTTGTTTCCTAATTTTGATAATACTTCTCTAAGTAAACCTGGAACAACTGGAAATTGAAACAAGTTGTAGGCATCATGATGGTTCCTTTATTTTTGTCTTTCTGGGCTGGTTGGTCATTGAGATTATTTCCATATTCATCCCAAGCTTTTGGCAATTCTGTTTGGTCACAGTTGCCACTCTCTTGCCAAGGAGTGTGCTGTTGCCTTTCGAACTCCTTGGAGGGTTCATTCCCCTTATGGTCTCTTTGCTTAGTGTTTGTTCTTGTTCCCTCTATCTGTTTTCTTTGGACAAAGTATCCTCCTGTGCTACCTTTAGACTTGATTTTCTTTTTTTCTTTGCAATAGTTAAGACACTACTTCTACCTCATACAAAATATGAAAGAAAATGCCGCTAGAAGGGTCACTAGAAATAGTTCATAGCTTTTCACTAAGATGCATCTTTTGCATATAAATGACTGGATTCTTTTAATTATTTGCATCTAAGGAACTGAAATCTTAGGCAAAATTTCAAATCGATCTCTCACTAAATAATGCAATGGTGTGTTTTCAGAATGTGTTGTTTTTTTGCCTGAAATATCTTGTCTATTCTTGCTGTTGAGAGTTGATCGTATGCAATAACCAAAGAGTTTTTGTTATTATTTTATAATAAACTTATGATACTAATCTAAATCCCTTGAGTATTGCAGTTGAAGAGCACCACCTTTATCCTTCTGCTCCTCCTTTGACTCGTTACAAGGAGGCAGTTTTTCCTATGACCAAGAAAAAGTTGATTGATTGTGTGCTTCTGGAAGAGGAAGTGAAGTCTAAGTTGAATGAGCTGACGATACCCAAGCTCTGTATCAGATTGAATACTCTCCAAGTGAGTTACATTTCCTTAAATATATCATCAGTTGTTGCGTAAATAGTTTGCTCGAGTAGCAGTGAAAGTAGGAACTTCCATTCTGTCAATTTGATGCTTGCGATATTAATGAATCTTCATACTTTTTAGTGTTGACATTCGTTACAAATTTTTTTTCTTTAGAGAAGGTTAAGATGAACGACTTTTTTTTAACCGATCATAAAGGACTACACACTCTTAATATAAGATTGCTATTTTGAGATTAAGTTTTTGATTGAGTGATGAAATGAGAATCGTTTCAGAATTGTTCTCCTTCCCCAACTTCCTCTCCCTAACACCAAAAGGAAAAAAGATCCTGTATAAATAGTAACAGGTTGCTAATTTAAAAAATAAAATTAAAAATAAATAAAACTTACATAGATGAGGATTGGAGATCGTTACAATAGTTCTGTTTAAGTGTGTGCTTTCTAGCCATGCCACCTAGAAAGCACAGACACTCCTCTAGATGGTGCCAGGGCTGTCAAACACGTGTCCGGCATGGTTACAGAGTGTCTTGGAGTTGGGATGATTTTTTTGGTTGGATGATTATGATAACAAAAACAAGAGCAATAGTAATATGCATTTTCTAAGGTGGAATTTTTGTTGATTCTAGGCTAAAACTCATGTTCTTTTTGGAGTATCCTGCTTAATTTGGTGTCACGTAGTTTTTCTATGCATGCAATGGCATTACGATTGTAGCCAAAGTCTAAAATGAATATGAGGTGTCTGAAGTGACAACATCAAAATAGAATTATGTGATGCAAATTTTGTATCTGGATGTAGCGACTCTAAAATACTGATGTTCTTTGGAGGGTCCCTGTCACATAGATTACTATCATTTTAGAGTACCTCATGAATGACAGACTCTAGGTCCAGAACTTTACTTTTGCTTTTCTTGGTTAGCTCTTGTTTTTAGTCTCATGTATACTATTCAATAAGGTGCTTTATATTTCTTTTATGTTTTAAATTTATATTCATATGTTAATTTTATTTTCAGGTCTCATTCTCAATTGATTTTCGGTTTATTTATTCTGGTGAATGGTAGAGGTCCTGATATGTCTATTTCAATTTATGATCTTCTCTTCAACCTTTTTCTTGTCTAGACATCCAGCTTTTTTTTATCTGAATAGTATAAATTGTGTCCTGAAGTCCTTAGAAATTGACTTTTATATATCTTCACTCAAATGGCTAGACTTTCTTCTCTGTTCCCTCTGACAGTGCCATTATCTTCTTTACTATGGTCTAGATAATCCAGATGTTATACTGATTAATCTTTCAAAAAGTCCTGTTATGCTGATGTACTTGCTGAAACTCAGTTAATTCTAACATGTCACTCAAATTGATTTTTTTTTTTTTTTTGGCAATACTCGTCTCTCCTTTCTGGCAGTATATTCAGAAACAGATTGGCACACTGGAAGATGGCATTAGGAAATCATGGGGACATGCCACACGATCTGAAAATCGAAGATTGTGTAAGATCTGTTTGTCTGTCTTGATGACCTATGATTTACTGATTTCTGTGATTTCGTGTGTTATTCAGTTTTGTACTTTTCTTGTTTTATTTATTTATTCTAACCTCTTAATCAATTCACGTTAACTAGGGAATAATGAATTTTTGGTGCCTTACCATTTGGAGTTGTACATTGTGTGGTTTTAGTTTGAATATAGTTGCTAAATGGACAAACCATTAGGCTTATTCTTATTGTGTGCATGGTTGGGTGGCTATGCTATCTGTGCATTGGTTTGGTGGCTATGCTATTGCCTTTCAGCTAGTACTTGCTATTTTCTGATAGATCTGTATGTGGGGAAACAATAAAATTTTGCAGCACTAGGAATGTAAAGATTCAAACTGGAATATATATACAACATATTGAGTTTCGTGTGTTTCTCATTCTATGATCACCTATCTCAAGTCACATCTCCTATTCCCGCATGAGTGATTGAGGGTTCAATTCCCCATTTGGGTACTAGTTGGTGTGCATGTTACTGTTTGAGTTGGTGTGTGTATCTTACCACCAGGAAAAAAATAACTTTTTCTCATTCTATGATACTTATGCCATGCCTAGAACATCGAGCTTCATTCATATTCTTGTCCGCCTTTTTTTTTTTTTTTTAAAAAAAAAAAAGACGAAAAAATCAATGAGATGAAAAATCATCAACAGCCGCATGATTTGTTTATAACAATGCTTATGGGTCATTCTTATTCATCCAGCCAATGAAAAACCTCTGGACACATGATTTGAAATAAAAAGAAGAAGAAATCAATGAGATGAAAAATCATCAACAGCCGCATGATTTGTTTATAACAATGCTTATGGGTCATTCTTATTCATCCAGCCAATGAAAAACCTCTGGACACTTCAGAGAGAGCTGAACTTACTTGTAGTGAATCAGTTGATGAGCTGTTTGTCGCCACCTTTGACAGCATTAGGGACACTGCAGCTGATGCTATCAGAAAAATATGTGCCTTAATTGGTGAGAAAATAAACTCCATTGTTTTCTTTATTCTATTGAGCATTGAACACCCCTGCTTTATGCGACACTTATATAGGAGTTTTTCATGATGTAATAATGTATAGCCGGTTGAGTCTCTCTAAAAGTAAAAGATCCCATGAAATGGCATGATGCTTAGTTTCTAGGTTTGCATAACTTTGTCTCCTCACTTCCTAGTTTTCTACTCCTTTAAACCTCATTTTATCTTCTTCTTTTCTTTCTTTTTTTTTAACTTATTGATCCCCTGCTTAATGTGACACTTATATTGGCATTGCCTAATTTATGGCTGTCAGTAGTATATTAAATTTTAGACCATCATTCCATTGTTTTTCAATGTATGTTATCTAATTGCACTAAAAGGTGTCTTATTATTTTAGTTTTCCTGAACTGAACCTCTTGTGAAATTTTCTCGTTGTTATGTTTACACTTTTGTCGTGATCTATTTTGCCTTTAATGATTGCAAAGGTTGTTGGTATAATTTGGGATTCTGAAAATTCTTGACTTATCAAATACTTATTTTCACAATTTACTTGGTTTTTTTATGCTTGCAGACATTTATTCTAACGTTGTGTACTAAATATTTTTAGGAACAAGAGTTGTTTTTTGGGATTTGAGAGACTCGTTCCTGCTTCATTTATATCATGGTAGCTTTGATAGTGCTCGTTTGGACAGTATTCTTCCACATTTCGATATAGTAAGACATTTACTTAAATGCTTGCAAAGACAATCAAGTAAAATTTGTTCCTGTTACATTAATTCTGGGAGGTATCTATGCAGGTCCTCAATAATATATGCAGTTGGATTGATGATGCTCTCAGAGATCGCGTGGTGTCAAGCATCTGCAGTGCATCAATGGTAGGCTTTTATTTCATGAATCTGTTATGGCTAATTTGCTGCATGGTTCTGATTATATCAGTACAGGAAGGCTATGTCTGGGTATTGCTGGATGGAGGCCCTTCTTGTGCATTTTCTGATTCGGATATCAGAATGATGGAAGATGACCTTAATTTGTTAAAGGTATATATATATATATATATATATTAATAGTAGCAAAACTTGGCATTTTCTTTTGTTTACCAATTTGATTTGTTTAACATTGATGACAACTGATTTATTTAGTGTGATGACTTAAGGTGTGAAATTCATTACTAGAATACCTGAAAATAACAACTTTTGTGGGGTCAAGAACTACTTCATGCAGCATCATTTTTAAGGATCAATGTTAATGTTATGTAGTTGCTACTTGGGATTTGATCTATTTTCATTACTCTTAGTACCAATACCGTTAGAACCCTAGATTTTGCATGTATTGTTGTGTAATTAAATAAGGGATACCTCGGGGGTTGGTGTTTTCATAATTTTGGGGAATAGGATGGGAACATATAACTAGTATTTAACTTCTTTGGAAGGAAGAGAGAATAACAGAAATCTAATATACTTGAAATTCTAGGAATTGAGGACAAACATTGAATTTTGTCCTCAATCTTTCTAGTATTTTTTTTTTTATAATTGCTTGGTTTCATTACTTTTCAACCTCTTTCAAGTTTGATTTTTGAACTTTTCTATCGGTATCCTCACCAATACCTCAGTATATATAGCAGAAGAGAAAAGATAAAGAGAAACTCTTTTGCAGTGCGGAAATCAATGTTGTTTTAAAAGTTTGGAATTTGATGTTTGAATATGGAAATTGTAGCAATACTATGAGACATGCCTATAGACGGCGTTGCACAGTTTAGAGTCAGGGATACCAGATTTCGTGGTTGGTTATATGCCATATTGTCCTAATGTAAAAAAGAACAGAAATCTTCTGGTGTCTTTGCTAAAATGAGATCGCTTGTTACACCTTTTTGCTGGCTTTATTCTATGAATTATTATCAATTTGGCACTCACCTATAGAACTATTCTGCTCCACTTTATAGGATTTCTTTGTTGCTGATGGAGAAGGCCTTCCCCGGTCTTTGGTTGAGAAGGAAGCAACATTTGCTCATCAAATCTTAGACCTGTTTTCACTTCAGGTCTGAAGACCCGCCCATCAAGAGCTATTTTTGCACCTAAATTAGTTAATTGAAATTGACATTACCTCTCTCTCTCTCTCTCTCTCTCTCTCTCTTTCTCTCTCTCTCTCTCTCTCTCTCTCTTTGCAGACTGGATCTGTAATTCAAATGTTGATGACTGCAAGCGAACATATTTCAACAGAACTGGATTCGCGTCAACATGGTAGCAGGTGCTTGGGAGATGCTCACACCCTAATTCGAATATTATGCCACAAGAAAGACATGGAGGCCTCCAAATTCTTAAAAAGGCAATATCAGCTGCCCGCATCTTCAGGTTGCTATATCTCCCCCATCTTTCTTCCATGATTCATGATTCATGATTAGGTTAATTGCACAAAACACCAATGAACTATAAAAAGGTTGCATGTTAACCCCAAGAATAAAGTTAACCTCCCTGAACTATTGAAACTTTGCAAACAAGGCCAACAACCCACCTATTGTTAGGTATCCTTCTACCCATTAAATGTGCTTTGAGAATGACTAAATTTCTCTTAAGATTATTTGCACAACATTTTTTGAACTATAAGAAATTTGCACGTTACACTGGAACAGGGGTGTAATATATGCATTTATATGGTTTAGGCCTTTGTGGGTGGGGGATGCTTTAACCATTTATTTTAGGGTAAAATACACCGACCTCCCCTGAGGTTTGGCCCAATAACACACAGCAGCCATGTTTGCCGTTTATTACACCGTGTTTCCCTTGAGGTTAGGCGTGTGTTCTCAACGACCCCCTCCCGTTATGTGCCCGTCATCTCTGTTAATGAAATTTCATGGCATGAAATGACAAAAATACCACCATTACATTGACCAAATGCCCGTAGAAAAAACTATTTGTTTTAATAGGCTTATGAATATTTTACAAACTGCATCTTTACAAAATGCCATATATACTATATATAAAATATATATATACATGGGGAAGGAGTGATCTGTGACTCCGATGGTGCATCCTCATCCATTTTCTCTTATTCCCCTTGATCCTTTTATATATACATATGTATATATCAATTTATACATATATACATGGGAATTGTCAGGAAGTAGAGCCATTAAAGAGGAAAATACCATTTTCGAACTTTCATGGAACACCTGCAATTCCTACCAAGATATTCAAAAACTTGTCAATTGAACCTAAACAAGAAAAGTCCGGCTGAATTTCACCGGAAACCCCCATAGAGTTTCTCACTCTCATGCTTTCCATAGTAATTCTTCGTGGGATACCCTCCAACCCAACCAAAAATCCCAAAACCCTCCCTAGACCATTTTCCTCCACTGGCTCACACACACACTTGGATCCAAAATTACCCATTTTCCTCCACCGTCACACAAGCACACTTGAATCCCAAATAAAACTTATTTTGTATTGAGAAGTCGAATCCAGATTGAGAGGAGAAAGTTGTGGATTTTCAATTATCAATGAAGTGGTGGTATCCTCTGCTGGCGAGCAAGCCGACATGCTCCGGCGACAGGAGCGTGTGGTTTGCAGAGTTTTTCGGCGAAATGGCAGGAGGTTGTGCGTTGGTGTGCTGGAACATGAGAATGGCATAGGGTTTTGCAGACCTTGTCCTTGTTGTCTACAAGCCACCGACTGAGGTGTGCGGGAACATGAGAAGAGAGAAACGGTGATGACCTTGTGGTTGGTTTGTTTGCTCTTGGGCAGGATGAGAATGGTGTAGGGGTTTATGAGAGAAGGAAAAGAGGAGGAGAGAACCGGATAGAGGGAAAAAAGAAGAGAGTTGCAGGGGGAATTTTTTTTATAGTGGAGCAGAAAAGTCATTTTTGCATGGAAGATTCTTTTATTATAAAAGTATTAAAATATTGAGGGTAAAAACGACATTTCACTCAACCATCTGTGCGTCTGCTCACTAACTGGAATAGGGGAGGTCATTGTAATAAATGGCAAACATTGCTGCCGTGCATAATTGGGGCAAATCTCAAGGGAGGTCAATGTATTTAATGGAGAGGGGTGTCTTTCAAATCTTTTTGTACCAGGGTGATGTGTAAATTTTATATAGTTCAAGGGAGTCTTACGCAATTAACCCATTTCTTTTATATTCTCAGCCTGCAAACAATTTTTATTTTTTTTGTTTTTGATAAGTATTGTCAGCCTGCAAACATACGTCAAGGAATTTTCACAAGCCTATATATAAGTGGTCAAATCTGTTCATATCTCTTTATGTGTGCGTTTGTGTTGTCCTTGGCGAAAAGGGTGGAGGGATTCTGAGTTTTTAATTCTTTTGCCTCAGTATTTCTGTTAGAATCTTGGCTTTAATGTTTTTCATATGATATGCTTGATGGAGCACTGATTGCAGAACTTCCAAAGACATCATCTTCTATGCAATTCGGTCCACTAACAATAATCTAATCTGTGCTTATGTGAAATTTGATAACTTATGTTCAGAGTATGACGACACTTCATCGAGGGACTCTAGTTCGAGATCACCTGTAGTAACAGATCTTCTAACACGAAGCACATCGTTCCGCTGGGCCGGGAAGAGCCACGGCAGCTTCAGATTGATAAAAAAGAAATTTCAACGAGCAGCATCGGGAATCAGGCATTCAACATGGTGACCAAACTGTACGATGGTGGCCCATTAAACATTTTGTATTTTCACTTGCATCTCGGTCCAAGCATTTAGGAGTTGGTCTGTGAGTGCAGAAATGACTCATTCAACGTCCATTTTAAGTCATTGAGTATAATTCTTGTGCATAAGAAACACCATTCATGCATGATATCATGGAAAGTTAATTGTAAGACAGTATGGCTTAATCTCCTAATCAATCAAATGGAGGTGAGGAAGGTTTCAAGCATCTACTTGGTGTCATTAGTTTTTCCATGTTTGGTTGGAAAAACTATAAAGCGTGACTAGCGAGAATTATAGACTTTTTGGCTGTATCCAGTTGTATCTTTGTCTCAGGAAGCAAGTTGGAAGTTGGAAGTTGGAAGCTATTCTTATTTGTTATTTGTTTATTGGTTACAATCATTGTATTAATTGGTAGCACATCAGAGTCAAAGAAACCCACAAAAAGGTGATATTGTGGTGGCAGGTCCCCTCAAAATTCGGCGGTTGTGATGACTATGGTGTAGAAAGATTAATAAATCATTGTGGATGCTGAGTCACGATGCTCAACCACTACTAGTCACCTCATCACCCTCCCTTGCATTTATTTTAAATATTTTACTATTTTAGTGTTGTAATTAAAAGTATAAAATCGTGTCGGCCTATGTGATGGTTTTTACATCATTCATTTTGTATGGAGAGGATTTAAGTTCCATCTTTCACACTAGCCTGTGTGACTTAAACAGTTTGATGTGACTATTAGTGTACTTTCACATGGAATTCGGTCCTCTCCTGACCTTTTATCATGCGCTTTCACATCGTATATGTAACAATTGTATTATATTGTTATATCATATCATTATTTTAGGGTTTGTGTTACTTTTTATGGAAGATGAGATTGGAAAATTTGTTGTCCTCTCAATCGAAATGAGATCTATGGGACCAATGAGGGGATGCCACGTGTGGCCTCTGCATATGGTTGAGCCAACATCAATGATTTATAGATTTACTATTGTGCGGTTGACAATTTCTTTGATATTGCATCATGGTAAAAAAGGAGCACAACTGAATTTTCAAGTGGATGCACGTCAAATGCGTAAAACTGACAAGCCCAGATACTTCAGAAGATTTTTTTAGTTTATTAATTATTATTATTATTATTTGCACAACCTAGTATGTTTTACACGATACTAATACATAATGATACTGATTGAAAATTTAATTTTGATCGTCCATTGAAAAAAATAAAATAAAAAAGATTATACCACACATTACTGAATCAGCAAAGTCAATTTCACTCAGATTGCAGGAAAATTCACTCGTTTTTCACACTAATCAAACACAATATTACATGATTGCTCAAATTATTAGATTTTCGCCTCAATAGGACAAGCATCACAAATACCCTGTACTGGTGTGCACACCCCATACATTCTGGAGGATGCCCAACTTCTGGCTCCTCCCTAAGAAAAAGATCAGTGAAAATCAAGCCGTTGGATTTGTTTAATCACCCCGTGGTCTACCTCTTTTGGTCACTTCTCCTTGTACCTTCGTTACAACTTGCAATGAATTGTCCATGGGACATGGCACGTGACTGGCTTTCACCAACAGCCTCCGGGAACATTGTCACCGGAAAACCAATTACTGTCTGACCCCAACCCATTTCCGGCAAGTGTGTCAGATCAGAATGGGGGCATGCCACCGGCAGTGAACCTTCCAATTTCACTGCAATATTAACAATTCCATGGCCCCTTGAACCGTCTCTTTCCCGCAGCCGGTAACTCAGGTGGCGAACCGACCCCACCGGCGACATACCATCTACAACATCGGCTGTCGGAATATAACACCAACCCAATTGAGTCTGACCCACCATGACACTTTTGGTATATAGTTGGAGGTATATACGGGAGTGTCTTTGGTACAGAAAGGTGGCATCAATAGGTAGCTGAAACTTGTCACCCCATGTAGGGTTGATGCCTCCTTGATCATCCACTCTTGTCTTGCACACGTGGCCATGCTTATCACCGTTGATGGGTCGTTGTGAAAACGGTGGGACAGTGCTCAGAGTGATGAAGGGTCGGAGACGGCTAGAGAAGAGCTTTGAGGAAGTGTTCTTGAGGCCTTCAGCTGATTTGACTGTGATCTCCATCATCAACGGCTGGTGATTGTTCTTCAGCATGATGAATTGATGATCACTATGTGTCAGTCTAAGTTATGTCTATAATATTAGATATATACATAAGATATGAGTGTGTGTGTATATTTATAGTGAAGGTATGTTTGGGGACCGGGATGAAAGAGAGTTCTTGGGAGTTTCAGAGGCTACTCACACTGTAACTTCGTCTGTGGAATAAAAGGGAACTTGAAAATTAAACGGGTAGATGTTTTCCAAGATTGACAAGTTATATGGAATTTTCATGGTTGTGAGGTCAACTGATGAGAAGTGCCCATTAAGGACACCCAACATTTATTTAATATTATTATTTATTTTTCTCTTTTGAAGATTTCAGAGACAAAATGAGAATAAATATACAAGATGATTTTGGTGTATTGGCTAAGACTACAAGTCTATACAACTCAAATGCATAACGACTTAAAAGTCTAAAGATTTTAGGTGGAATATCTCGTATTCAGATCTAATATGCTTAGTTGCGATTAAGTAGAACTCACATGCAGCCTATTATACCTAATCATTCTCCCATCTTAATTCGATATGGGACAAATTTTCCCTTATTATAGTTTTCTTATGCCACAAATTAAATTAGAACAAAATAATTAAAAACTCTCAAGTATATATAATATGGTTATTTTTTTATTTTATTTTTATGGTGGTATTGGGCCATATGTATTGGGTAATTATTAAAAAAAAAAATTCTAATAATAACCTTAAGCGAATATGAACTCTCGACTTTGAAAATGTAAGGTGAAAACCTTGTAATTAGACCATCCTTTGGAGTTTGAGTGTATAATTCATAATAGTGTTTTCTTTTTTAAAAAAAAAAAATTAGGAAAAAAGGGAAAACATTGAGCATGCGTGGGCCTCTTTGGAGTATTTTTCCAGCAATAATACAACTTTTCCATAAAATTTGATCATAATTTTAATTTGATCCATGCACTTCCTTTCTTAGTCCAATAATATAAAATAATTTACAATAAGAGTCACCGTAGTGACCATACTGCCCTCGAATGAATATTGAGGGTTATATCTTTTTTGTTTTATAAATAATACTGTATGTATTAATATAAAATCTGCCTCAAAGATGGAGGGGGAAGAGTGTGATTTACTCGAAGTATAATAAATACAAAATAGGAAGATTCAACATATTATTAAAGTTACTCATCAAAAAATAAAAAAAGGAGGGGTAGATATCATTAAAGATTCAGTCCATTCACGGGTGTGTGGGTGAAGAGCATGACTTTAACGGGTAGGATGGCCCACCGGATAAGAAGAAATATAAAGACAGCTCCCAAATATGTTTTAAGAAAAAAATATTGAAGTTTGGTGATTAAAATTGAAATTTTTTGGCTGATGGTGACATTTGCCTAAAAAACAGATTCAAAAGTAAAATTCGAAAGTGGAAACCAAAGTAGAATCTGAATTAAATAAAATTATTTATGAAAAGAACAAAAAAAACACACACACACACTCAACTCTTTGTATGGTACGTTTTTTAAAATGGTATCCAAACTAAGAAAATATGAGCATAGCGGTTTTATGTTGTGAGCTCAATGACGTAGGACAGTGATGGGCATATGTTATGTTTAATTCCCACATTTGACTACAGTGACATTGTGCTAAAAATAAATAAATAACAATACTTATTAGTGATATTTTTTTAGGAATAATATTAAAAAAATGAAATTATGGGGTCTTTATGTCAAAATAATGGAGTCAACTAAAATGAAGATTTTTTTAATTAAAATTTGACAAAGACATGAAAAGTTATTCTTTTATTTCCAAATTGCCCATAATTTTATCAACGTGTGTGTGTGTATTTTCAAAGCACCACAGCCATTGCCAGCAACACCGCTCCACTCTCACGACTGCCGTCACAACTCTCTCTCTCTCTCTATCTTCTTCCTCTTATCTCTTCGCTGTTGCTCTCTCCCCTTTGTTTTCCCTCTCACCACTGCTAAAAACCATAAATATATCAAACATATGCACACATATAATCATACATATGTGCAATATATGTTGTATAAGTAATAAAAATTGATTATTGACGACCCAATTGTATTTGCATATATATAATAAATGCAAACATTTAATTAATTGCATATTGGTATCCAACATATTATTTCAATAATCCTTCGTAAAAGCAATTGAATCAGCCTCTCTCACAATATAGTTTATATAGACACACACCCACAACCACCACTATTGGAGCAACGATCATTGGCCACTTGTGGACATTCTTCTCCCATTGGGATCCTATCCAGGAGGAGGTGAAGTAGCGCCAACCGGAATCAACGAAGCTATGAATCCAATTATTTTTTCAAAAGAGAGATGAAGAGAAACAAAGGGTAGGTGAAGAGAGAGGAAGGGCAATTTGATAATCAACACCTACCTTTATAAAATTCTATTATATTAAAAAAGTTGACTTTGACTACATCATTTTAGCATAAAGCATCCATAATTTCATTATTCAGGAATTATTCCTTTTTTTTTTAAGGGTTGAGGTTTTCAAAAATAAAAGCCTGTGTGTGAAAAAAAAAACTGGCTATTACTTTATTGTTTCATCTGTATATAATATTCTAAGGGTATGCAAGATATTTGGTCTAATTTATAATCACGAAAGTTCTCAATTTATCTAAATACACGAAAAATAAAGATTTTTTATTTTTATTTTTAAATATAACAATGTATTGGACAAGATATCACGTGTAAAACTAGATGACGAAAGGTGATTGTGATATGCATTTTGATGCTATGATATGAAGCTTCAAAGATAAAGCCAACCGACCAAGTGGCCCAAGCATGATTTATTTTTCGAATTCAGATCACAACTATGTAGAGATACCTTCTACTATGCAAGTACTTTGCACCCATGGAAATTCCTCACTTTCCTTGATGTATTACAATTTTCTATTAGCTGAAATACTATATTCTGGATTATTCCAAGCAAATACTTAATTCTCACAAATGTTACTGTTTGTGCTCTTAATTTTTAAAATTTCATCAACAAAATAAAATTTTAAATAAATGTGAGTTTCCATATCACAGAATATCGCGAAAAAAGTGTACTCTGAACAAATTTTGATTTGTATAACATGCCTTAAAAAATTAATAATAATAAATAAATAAAACTTGTATAACGTACACCCCTAATGTCAAATTTGGAAAAAGGGTTGTTTGATTGGATACTACTGTTATGTTTGTGGGGGCAGCACTTGTGAACGGTAGAAAGTTAGAAAGAAACCGGACTTCACGCATATATATATATATATATATTCTCGTCGGCAAGAAACATCACGGATGCTTATATTTAGCCGTTGGGTTGTAGTCTGACCTAGTAGGCTTGCTGCTTCTTGTGATTTTGACTTTCATGGCATATATAAGTTGGCCCCCCCCCCCCCCCCCCCAAGTCTCTTCTCAAAGAGAAATAATTTATGGACAATATTAGGTTCTCTCGCTGTCCTCAGCGATGTGACCAACAATAAATAAATATATTGTTTCCGAAAGAACTCATTTACTCGTGACATATTCTCATCTAAAAGTTCAAAGTGATTAATGAGTGAATTGATTTTTCGTTATCAAAAAAAAGAAAAAGCAAAAAAAAAAAAAATCATTTGCTGACCACTTTTTCCTAGTTCCATTATTTATTTAATATTTTCCCAAGTACTTTTTCCTATTTCATTTTGTCAACAAGTTAACGAGTAGGAATGCCAATGAGACGGGGTGAGGCGGGGATGTCATTCCCCACTCCCATCTCCGATCAAATTTTTTATCTCCATCCTCGCTCTCATACCCGTTTAATTTTCAACCTCCTTCCCTATCCTCGCCCCGCCTTATTAGCCTCCATCCCTGTCCTGTCCTGTATAACATTTTTTAAATTCCAATTCACCTTCAACAAAATCAACACAGTCATAATATTTTTCAATCTAACAATTAAATAAAGCTTTAGCACAATTATAACAATTTAAAATATGATCAGATGTTTGATGCACAACGACTATATTTTTTCTCTATCCTACAAGGGAATAGATCTAAGGTTTCACTTTCAGAAGTGAATATATTATATATATAGTTATGTAATATAGTAATATTTTATAACATGTAAGGACGATTTTGTAAAAATACACTATAAACAGCGGGGCGGGGTTACCCCAGCCCTGGCCTCATCTCTCGCCGGGATTTCAAATACAATCCCCAACTCTTCCTCATTTACATAAATAGATTCCCAAACTAGCCATAAATAAGGCAGGGCCGGTGTGGTGGGGCGGGGATTCGCTAGGTATGGGGAATTTTGCCATCCCTGTTAACAAGTCTCCACATGGGTTGGGCCAAAGTTAAGTTGGGCTGCAATGGATTGAAATTTCTTAACATGTGATTCCAAAGTCACATCCTTTTGGTCCAGAACCTTTATGGGGCGGGGTTCTACACTTGGATAGTTTGTTGATAACTCAATTTAATATTTAATTAAATTGTATATTTATTTAATTAAATATATTTAATAATGTAATTTAAATATCAAAATAATAAATATCATTTAAAGTGGGATAAAATTGTAAGTGACATAAAAATCACTTATTACAAATTTTTTTAAAAAATATAAAAAATATTTATTTTTAATTATTGTTTAACAACTTGGGTACTTAAATTCTAACTCATAAAATTTATGTGTTTTTGAAGCGAATCATCGATTTATGTGTTTTCGAAGAGAATCATGGATGGGATTACATCGACGGTTTTTTACAAATATTTTTCTTCATATAAAATCATTTAAAATGAAAATCTCCCATCGTGTCATCCTGTTACTTCATGCTATTTTACAAATGAAATATTGAACGAGCTGTTCAATTACATTGTTAATGAAAAGTTATGACCTATTTTGATACACTTGAGGATGGCTAATAAACTTCTTCTAATATCAATACAACACAGCTTCAAGCCTTCATGTCACTGAATCACACACTCACGGGTGTGACACCACAACACGTGTAGAGAATCCACATTGATCCACTTTCATTCTCTTTTGATCTCGGTTCGTGGATTATTAACGAGACTCTCTGATAATGATTGCCCCCAAATCGACGTTCCTCATTTCACCTCCGTTCTAACCGGTGTATCTGATCTCCTCCTTTGTTTTCTCCTTCTTCATCGAATCATCGTCACTTCTACTCGCGCTTCACGCCGATGGACACTCCAAATAACCGCGGCTTCATTTCCTCCTCCGCCCTCGCGGCGGCGCCGCCGTCATCTTCCGCCGAGAACCGACTCACGGGTAACACATCCAAAGCTCTTCCCTCCATCAGTCCACTGGTCTCCTGCTGGCTGGAAGGATAGCTCGTCATCAAAGCACATATATTATCACACAGTCTCCGCAATCGATTCAATTCTTGGCACAATTGTTTATTCTCTCCCTTGAGCCGTTCGTTCTCTTCCAGAAGCTCCGCCGTAGTACAGTTTGTACGGCGATGTACGACACGAGTCGGTGTCGCCGCAGGCGATGAGTTGGACGAAAGAGCTTGGTCGTCGCCGGAATTCGTCGGCGACACCGTCACCGTCACGGCCTGTGCAGTCGCCGCTGACAGAGAGATTTTACGGCGTTGTATGTTTCGGAGCAGTCTCTTCTGGCCTCTCTGGAAGCATTCATTCGCAAATTCCCACCGATCAGACCCAACCTTTTTGAATCCCTAAAAATTCAAACCCATATATCAAAATTAAATATATGTATATGTATATATGAAAATTTTCAACAACTTCAAAAACAAAATATATACGTATTTATGTATGTATATGCATATGAATCACATAGTTTCAGGTAGAGCCTTCATACGTAAGTGTTTAGCTGACGAACGAAACTTGAGAAATTGTCGTGTTTGAAGAATTTTGGAAGCAAATCTCTGGCAAATTCAGCTGGTCGCCAAACAATGAAAGTTGTTCCGTCTTCGTTCCACGAAACCAAGTCGTCGATGCATGAATCGTCGACGAATTCGTAGGTCTTCGTCAGAAATGGCGTCGGCAGACATCTCTGCGATTCTCCGGCAGCCATAACTTGCTCTTGCAGATACAAAATCTAGAAAGAGCCAAAAAAATATTAGCCTTCCCTAACTTTTCCTACCAAACAAACAGGAAAGTAAGAGTAATATAAAAATCCTATGCGTCCTAGCTTCTAGATAAAACAGATCTAGAAGAATCTATTTACCTGAAAAGCTAGGTCGTGTTTGGTTCACTATTTGAAAAAAAAAAAAAAACGCGATTTTAGAAAATTATTTAACACGGAAATTTTAAAAGAGTTTTGTTCTTAGAAGGCTCCGGTTAAAAAGCAGAGAGAGAAAGAAGGGAGTGGAGAGAGGGAGACTTTGTGGTTGTTCGTAGAAGGTTCTGGGTGGATTGAATGATTAATTCTAGAAGAAAAAAAGGAAGAAAGAATCTTTTAAATTGATTGATTCTGTGGGTAACTGTACTTGATGCTTCAGTATACACAATTGCAACATGTTATTCATTTAAAACATGTGACATCTTTTATCAACTGACAACCCTCTAAGGGCACTAGTGGTACAAGCTCGCAAGAGAAATTTTTTTTGCAATGTGGTAGTGAGGACACGTCATCACATAATCTCAATTTATTTACATTAAATTTATAAGCTCCAGTCCCGGTGGAGACATATTTTTTGAGAACTTAAATTTTAATTTTTTCTTTTTGAGAACCTAACTTTTAAGAAAATGATTTTTATAGTATTAGTATTTGTATTGAATGAATTATTAAATTTATTTCTAGTGAATCCATGTAATGAATTTATTTTTCATTGGTTTAATCATTAATGCAATGTAAAGTTTTACATTGATAATATTACCAAAAAAAATATTATATTAACTTTTAAAATGGGACAATTATTTTGGAATGAATAAAAATAAAAATGTGGACATAAAAGGTTCACTAAACTCCTTTTACATTATTTGGATTCCACTAGATTCAGTTCATTAAAATTTCGTTTATGAGTCAGGATTGTGATAGAGTTCAAAATTTTGAGTTTCTTTAATAACAAAAATTGTAGGAACTCAAAATCGATCGACCATTAACAAGTAATCCGAATGTGGGCGGATTTGGTCAGGGAGATGCAGAAATAGTACTTCAAGATCCATTACGTGTCCAAGGTCTTTTGTTCTTCTTGGCATCTGTTATTTTGGCACAAATATTTTTGGTTCTTAAAAAGAAACAGTTCGAGAGAATCATTATTGTTTCGACACAAGAAAAGGCATTTTCCACACCCCCTTCTTGTGTCGAAGACTAGTAAGACGAAGAATTGTTCCTATTAATATTTTAATACTTATTATTGAACTTATACAAACTTGTTCATTACACAAGTTAATATTCCATAGTATTAAGATACAATATATCAAAGTTTAAAATTTAATTTAAAACACAAAAAAAATGATAACAGTTATAAATACATATATGCTATATATGAGAACATTTTAAATTAAATTTCTTCAAATTCTAAATTTAAAACGTCGATTTCGTACTTCTAAATGCAACAATAATGCATTTACATAATAAATATATGCAATTGGAATTAAAATTCGAGTTCGTTTGGCATAACTTTTACTTATGCTTTTACACCAAAGAAAAAGAGAAGTAGAAGCCATCACTTCTATTCGGCTTATGTGTTAGTGTTTGGGAATTGCATTGTAGAAGAGTTTTTAATGCTATAAGAGTTTTTTTATCTGTTTGGCAAAAAATTTGCTAAAACTCTTCTACTACTAACATAACTATTTTGTCCTTCATTCAATTTATCAAATTTATCTGTAACAAGCCATATATATATATATATATATATATATATATATATATATATATAATATACACATATATTGCGAGACAAAATAAAATTGAAGGGAAAAAGCATAGGATGGATGGTAATGAATCTGAGAATAGGCACAAAGAAAAAAAAGAAAAATCAAATAATCAAATCAAATTACATATTGCAACCGGGACGCGCGCGCGCGCACACACACACACATATATATTGTTCTCATCCTTTAGTAGCTTACTTAGGATTTTACAATTTAATGATTTATTGGAGCCACAACAAAGAAGAGAAACTAAATAACAATTTTCTTCTGGGTTTCCTCCGGTTAAATGCTCTGTCATATCAAGTCTTTTAAGTACGAAGGAATATGTAATGATATCCTTTTTTGAAAGAAGAGAGACGAGAATGCAGAGGCCAGGGTTTGGTAAGAAAAATAAAAGGATATTTTTTATTTTTCAAAAAAAGAAAAAAAGAAAAATAAAAGGACTTTTATAGGGATAGGCTTGTAGGAAATAAAAATGGTACGTTTGTCATTTAAAAAATTTCATTAAAATACCAAATATTTTTTCGTGTTGTTTCAAAAGAGCGTTTTGAAAAAGTTGGGTTTCTAGCTTCTTTAAAACGCTCTTCCAAATATCCAAATCTCTTCTAAAAAAATTTCCAAACATTGCTCAAAATGCTTTTTAATCCAAAAGTCAAAAGCAGTGTTTAAAAAACCAATCCAAACGAAGTGTCAAAACTTCCACCAGAATTTTACCCTAATTAAGATTATGTCAAATATATGTATATATATCAATATGATTGTTGTTAGAGTTGTTTGATGCAGATGAAAAATAAAAATGGAAAACAACCCAACTGGATAACAACCCAACTGGAACCCGTCATCCAAATCCATGAAAAAAGGACTGGTAGTCGGTTCAAGTTACACCCGTGTAATACCAAATGAAAAAATATGTTATCGAATTCGGGTCGGGGGCTCGAAAGTACGAGTACGAGACGGCTATCTTCTTCCATTTCCTGATATGCTTCGTTGCCACAGCGAAATAAAATAGGGTTTATAAAAATTGGGACTGTCACACCTAAAATCCTCCTTCTATCATCAAGGTGACTCTCTCTCTCTATATAAAAAGATAATGGTCTTGATTCTAGTCTGTTTTTATTTATCTCCCGTTTGGTTGAAAAGAAAACGTAGGTAAAACAAAGAAAAACAACTTTGCATTTATAATTTTGTTCGTTGTTCTATACTTTTGAAAAACTTGAATTCTCTTACTTCAATAAGAAGCCAAATAGCACTGTAAGTTTCACTTGTATGAACACGCGCGCGCACACCAACCTCGTACAAGTTTAGGCTTCATACCCTATTTGGTCACTAGTTGTTTGACAAAATGCCTCAAATAAGAGGATTATGGATTTCATGAAATTGGCTGTCTTAATATCTCCAGACAGTCTCTGCACATTCACACTTGTGTATAATCGGTGCATGTGTTAGCAATATGCTTGATAAATCTGGGTACTGAAGTGTTCCCTTTTTGCAAGAGCTTTTTCCTTGAGGTTTAACATTTGTAATTGATGTCATAAAAAGTATATTATGCTATGGAAGCTAATTGTTTTTGTACTTAATTGTTTACCGGTTTTGTTATTGGCAATGGCTAGTTTTATGAATTGGAAGTGTGTCTATAACATGAGCAAAACTAAGATTATGGGTCAGTTTGGTTGGAAATTGACATTGAGTTAGGACGCTCAACTCAGTGTTTCAGGATATAATTGTCATTCTTTTTTGGCAACACAAATTGTGCCCCTTACCTATTTGAGTTGAGATTAATCCCCATGGAGTATCTTTCGTCCAGCTATAATTCTTAAGTGATAATAACTGAACAAGTCAAATTTGTCGTTGCTGCGTAACAGTTAATTATATCTGCTTCTGGCTTACTTTTTGTCAACTTTCTTTTTGTTTGAAAAATGTTTACCTATGATGTTTGCAGAATTGGTTCACAACTTGACATTTTCTTTACTTGCTCTTAAAGTGAAAAGCAATGGCTAAACCATTGTTTGCTTGCATAGTGAGGTAGATAATATACCTGTTTTGTGTATATGACTGTATCATGAGTTTTTCAGTCTTCTTGTGGGATTAAATTATAGCCTAAGGAAAAATCCTTTTTTGTTTTGTGTTGTAGGCTTTTGGTACCATGGATTTCCCTACGCTGCTTTGATGAGCTATTATGAATAGGACAAATAGTTTTTAATTGGAAAAAAACTGTCAAAGATGGCAGCAATAATTGCAACACGGTTGTTCTTCCTTGTTGGTGATTCTCTACCCTTCAGAAAGCTACCGCTGGTTTCCAGGAGAGCTCCATTCTACAGCAGTTTACGATTTCTTAGCCGGGTTGATCATGAAAATGGGCCCCTCAACCTCAAATCCATTGGGCTTAAAAGTGAATTCAATACAATAAACAAGAAAAGCCTGGATGCTGCAATCGAGGTCCCTAAGAATAAAGCGAAGGCTGTTAAAAGTAATGGAGTCAAGGGAGTAAAGTTTAAAAAATCGCTTGACATAGAGGCAGCTCCATTTGCGGCAGAGTCATTTTCAGAGCTTGGTCTCCCACCTTTGTTGATAGAAAGGCTAGAGAAGGAGGGCTTTATGGTTCCAACTGATGTTCAGTCGACTGCAATTCCAGTCATTCTTAAAGATCATGATGTTGTCATTCAATCCTACACAGGTTCAGGAAAAACATTGGCATATCTCCTCCCCATTCTCTCTGAAGTGGGTCCACTGAAGAAAAAAGCTGGCCAAGAAGGTGGGAGGAAAACAGACGTAGATGCAGTAATTGTGGCTCCTTCAAGAGAGCTCGGCATGCAAATCGTGAGGGAGGTTGAGAAGCTGTTAGGATCTGCAGACAAGAAACTAGTTCAGCAGCTTGTGGGAGGAGCTAACCGATCAAGGCAGGAAGAAGCGCTCAAGAAAAATAAGCCAGCCATAGTCGTTGGAACGCCTGGGCGGATTGCAGAGATCAGTGCAGCTGGAAAGCTTCACACTCATGGCTGCCGCTACCTGGTCTTAGATGAAGTTGATGAGCTCCTTTCATTCAATTTCCGGGAGGACATGCATCGGATATTGGACCATGTGGGAAGGAGACCCGGTGCAGACCCACAAGGTTCAAGAAGCCCTATTGCTAGGCGGGCTGAGCGTCAGACTATCATGGTGTCTGCAACGGTGCCATTTTCTGTGATAAGGGCAGCTAGAAGCTGGGGGCAGGATCCGCTTCTAGTCCAAGCCAAAAGTGTCGTCCCTCTTGAGTCTGTCTCACCGACTGCACCTGTGAATTTTTCAGGACCTACTTCCACTTCTAATTCATCTGCGAATTTGCAGAGTCCGGAAACAATAAAAACCCTACCACCAGCCCTGAAACACTACTACTGTGTTTCAAGATTACAGCACAAGATTGATACCTTAAGGCGATGCGTTCATGCACTTGATGCCAAGTCTGTGATAGCTTTCATGAATCATAACAAACAATTAAAAGATGCCGTCTTCAAGCTAGAGGCTCGTGGAATGGAAGCTGCAGAGCTACATGGAGACCTTGGCAAGCTGGGCAGATCAACGACACTAAAGAGATTCAAGAACGGGGAATTGAGAGTTTTGGTGACGAATGAGCTTTCTGCAAGAGGTCTTGATGTGGCAGAATGTGATCTTGTGGTTAATGTGGACTTACCCACAGACTCAACTCACTATGCACATCGGGCTGGTCGAACAGGTCGGCTTGGTAGGAAGGGTACCGTTGTCACCATATGTGAGGAGTCTCAAGTGTTTGTTGTGAAGAAGTTGCAGAAGCAGCTTGGGGTCCCCTTCCAAGCTTGTAAGTTCACAGACGGCAAATTTGTAGCTGAGGAAGAGGCAAACTTGTAGCTGAGGAAGAAGTAAAGACTCCAGGTGGATTGAAGTAATTTCATGTTTCCTGTTTTCACATCCAAGTGTCATGAGAGAATTCACGAGGGAAGTAGCCTAGTTTTCTTGCTTTTCTTCTCATAAGAAATACGAATGTTCTAGGGCTAGCCCTTCCCTGTACTGAATTACTCAGTTGATACTTTTTGTCAAAGGCATTATAAATTACATTTTTGCAATGAATTTGTGATATGTTGTGAGAAATGGAGTACTTTAATGGAGGAATGGTTTCTACGACAGCTCATTTAAATTAAGCATCGCCTAGGCCATAAAAAAGAAAAAAAAAATACAAAAAAAAAAAAAAAACAGCAGCAGCGACCGCCACAACTAGCTGAAGCAGCCGACTAAAATTGACATGCCATCAAAGGATTCATATAGAACTCATGTTATTGAGATTTGGAAAGGATAATCGACTAGACAAATGTTAAATATTTATTGCTTTGATCTCCTGTTTTCCTTTTGTTCGTCTTTCGTTCAACCTGGACCATCTCTCTGGTGGGAGTGGAGCTAGCAATATGAAATTTCACCATATGATTCTTTTACAGAGCTTGTGGCCGGACAAGAGTGCACAAACTGCAATAACAAGGAAAGCAGCAAAAGACATGGTAACAGACACAACAGCAGACTTCCAAAGTGATGCAGTTTGTTCTATCTGTCTGAGGATGGCCAACATCGTTACTGAAGAAGATGACACGAGAAGGTAACCTGTCAACTGTTATATGCTAGAAAAGAATTAGCCTCAAGAAAGGTTTGCACTAGGAAAAAAAGAAAAGAACAAGACTGAAAATAGAAAACACAGAAACATGTTTAACAGAATTAAACCTAAGCATAGATGTCTCAGAAACTTACCTTTCCAATCATATAATTATTTTTCATATGAACTTATGAGATCATCTTGCATTGAGAACCTATAACTCAGTACCACGAGTCTATAATTATCACAGTTTCTGTAAACTGCTGCACGACTCGAAACAAGATGAGCTTATTATACGTAATTTGTGTCACCTAAAATGGACGTAATGGTTTTATTAATTCGTGTTGTACTTGAAGAGTACTTCTAGGGAACCATCAACAATGTGGTGGCATAATATTCATCATCTAACTTGAGGCCTCTGTCTAGTCCTTGGAGAAAAGTTCCAGCTGATTGGAGGTGTTTCAAATTATCCATTTTTTTTTTTTTTCTTTTCGAAACAAGGTGCTAAGCTCTCTCGGAGGGCTGAGACTTGGATCCCATCATATATTTGGTGTTATCCTTCTATTTTTATCTTTTGCACCACAATACCATTCCTTCAGCCCGCCTTTCATGGATTTCAGTCAAATATTTTGGTTGAAGTTGATCGGTATGTGTTCTGAGATACTGGACATGCTAGGGAATATAAATCATAATATTAGGTCATCGGTTTGCAAGACAGGTTATACAGGTGTTCTAAACTGAAATCAGTTGATTTTGACACCGAGACACCACAAGTTTGGACCTCCATAAGAAACATGGTACTTGCAGCGAGATATTATAGACAGCTAGCCATCAATTAGTTGTTGGGAGGGGTGGTCTCTAGGGAGGCTTCATGGAGAACCTTACCTGATCAAGAATGAAGCTAAAGTAATCAGAGGTCTTGTCCGAGATGAGAATGCCTCTGTAGGCAATGTCCCAAACACCTTTAAATAGTTGGTAGGCTGAGTAAGAGAAAACCACTATGGTCACAATGAAGCAGTACCTGCAGAAAGACAATCAGAGGGTTGTGTGTTCAGGACATGACCTTTTCGGCTTTGTTATTCAAATTTGAAAATTGCAGTCCTAAGGCATAGTCCTCAGTTCAAATTTTGTTGCAGAAATGGTGGACATAATTGAGTTGAATAGCAATCTTTATCTTTCCACCAAATGTTATGTATTCTTTCTTGTTTGTTTAAAACTAAATTCATTCACAAGTCAACTACAGCTAATGCTTACAGTAGTTCAGGATATTCCCAAAAGCCTTTCTTCTTCTTTGGTGATGGAGCAGCCAGGGAGAGGGCAGAGACGAAGGAGAAAAGGAGCGCCATGAACCGCAGGATCAGATTATAAAGATGAATCGGAGGTGTAGTGCTCCGCCTAGTAGAAGTGACCAAAAACGAGAAAGGAGATGGTGTTGGCAGTTGTGGTGGTTGAGCGGGAGAGTAGACAATAACAGGCGAAACTCCGGACATTGAGCTGCAAGCAATCACTACCACATTCTAGCTTTCTTCTTCTATCTGTTACTCTCTTTCTTTAACTGCTCCTTTGTTCAAATGAAGCTTCCTCAAACTTTCTTGCAATCACAATGAGTCCCAAACTTGTATTCTAAAGTATTGTCTCTTGTCTATATGAGCTACTTGAGGACATAGTTTATGATGTTTTATAAATAAAAGCCATCTTCTAAAGTGCTTGGAGAATATTTTGTAGTCAATCAGTATTTTAGAAAGGAAAATGTAGGATAACAGCGTTTCTCAAAATAAGGTCTATGAAATCCAATTACAAGAAGCCATATAAGCATAAAAAAAGGGTCCGTTTTCGCTTATGACATTGGTGATTCAGCCTTGATTTCTGATAGGATAATATGAAAGTAGTTAACTAATCACAGCTCAATTTAATAGGAGGCAGGTGTTAGAAATGAACTGTTCTCGTCAAGTCTTCCTAAAAAGAAATGCATAAATGTTTGGTTTATCCTGGAAATGATAAAAGAATCATGCACTTGTTGAACCACAAAATATTATAATCAACACGAGAAAGGGAACTCATCCAGAGCTTGTCCATATGATCTGTCTGCAATCTCTCAATACATTTCATTAGAAAAAGGAAAATGAAAAGATCCATCAAAGAATTAATCATTTATAACGGAGTGAGTCCAATATTACTTGACCTTGAGTATTTTCATTTAATATAATTATTCAATATAAACATTTAATTCATTTTAAAGTAATAATATAATAAAATTGAATGATTTTTTTTTTTTAAAGGTATATGTCCAACTAAAAGTGTCAGACACATATCTTATAACTATGTCCGGACAGTATGTGGATAATACAGGTATATTCACTACTTTTGAAAAGTTCATGTAATATAGCTTCCATTCGGACCATTCTCAAAAAGAGAATTTATCCCTATACACTGCCATAAAGTACATTATTTCTGTTTTTCATGTATTTTTGAACATTTCTTCAAAGCCATATTTTCCCTGTAAAAAGCATCAAATTATAATACATGGAAAACACAAGTTATTATTTTGTTTATTTATTTACTTAATTGGCACGTTGGCCGTGACATATGTAAGATAATTAGGGTCAATGGGCGCTTGGATTCACAGTATAAAATCCATGACTCGGGAGTTTTTTCCGTCTGGCGGTTTCCTTTCAATTCCGTCTCCGTCTTTCCTTTGCCAAGAAAAGAAAACTAGTAATATGAGAACCAATCATCTCCAATAATAATATTGTCCAAACATTTACCAGAAAAACACACTACATTTCGTTATCATCATGCAATGAGTGTTAGCCATCTAATGAATTGGCACACAATTACACAAAGAAAAGAACCTTCCCCTTAGAAACACACTCAAGAAATTTTCCACACCTGCAATGCGGTGGAGGGAAAACAAACCACAATTCTTGCCCCCAGAAAATATGAGATGATGTCAAACTACAGCCTTCAATTAGAAAAACCGTATCATTCATGGGTGAGGGATGCCGAGGGAAGGCATTTGAACACGAGTGTCCAAACATCTTACTTTTAGCGGAACAATCAATCTGTAACTCTTGGCTGAACCGATAAAAACAAGCATTGGCTGTGCCTGGATCGAACACAAAAGTTGCTCTGATGATCCAACAAAGCAAACTACCAGCTCCATAAGCATGTTCACATGGCTTCTTGCCTAAACGTTCCGTGAATTTCTCAAGCCCTGTTGTAATGTCATTATCATCTCTTATAATGGAAAAAGAAAAAGAAAGACAAACATATTTACATAGCCAATTGTAAGAACTTTGAAAAGAAACTACATCTCATTGGAACATTAAACTTGCCACCTCAAAACAGAGCAACTTGTAGAGTTTGTACAAGGATTCTACAATTCCCAACTTTGTCGGGTACAGGAACTGGCAAAACCGGCAATCTATACTATGTTATACCAAAACACTGATTTCACATTTCATCATCTAATTGATTACGTCCCTTTCTATTTCATAAATGGCAGATGCATCCATGAGTTGAATATAACCTGCAGTAAAGGAAAAAGAATTGACGGGTGAATGAAGCAATATTTAAAGCAAACCAAAAATACACAACTTCAAGGGAAGGGAAAGAGAAACAACAGTAAACACATGCACTCTTGCTTACATTCATGTTGTCTGGTAATGGGGTATTCCATTAAGACCTAATATTCCAATCATGACAGAGGGTTGCAGGAATTACAAATACATTGGCTCAAAATTAGATTTTCGCAATAATAGGAGAGGGCATCATTCATCAATCGTGTCAGAAATAAGGAGGTTCCAGAACGGACAATTTTGATAACGACTACAGCGGTTCATCAATATGCAAGCACTCAAAGAGTAAACTCTAGATAGATTGACAAATACATACCTGGAGAAACTCCTAGGCTTAAAACCATATTACATAATTTAAGGTCTCAAAGAAATCGATGCAGAAATATTGCAACAAAAGCATCATAATGAACTTCAGACAAAAAATCAAGTTCAAAGATGCTGTGCTAAAGTTGCTGAAAAGGTGTACAACACGAAGATCAAGCCCAAAAGTTGATATTCTTTCCTTAATTGTGATGTCTATTAGGCATGGAAACTTGCTGCATGCATCAAATGAAGACGATTTGTAACCATCGCAGCCATTCCATATATATCCTTGTAATTTAAGGTATTAACTAAATCATTTAATTAAATTATAAGATCATTTTAAGTTACTAAAAAACCTGACAAAAAATTTCATCTTGCAGTTTTCTTGGAAGAAATATGCCACTAAAATTCTTGATGAAATTTTCGGGGCATAAAAGTACCCAAATCTAAATGCACATTCAGAAACAACTTCAAGGAACAACAGCTTCTAACTACCACTAGAATGACATCTTGGGCTGCAGTCACTCTTATATCTTTCAGTTTCAATCACCATTTCTTTTTTTGTGTGTGAGGGGGGGACCTTTCCTGTATAAATTAGAGATTCCCTATTATCCAAATCCTCCTCAAATTAGGAACTATGAACCCATGAAACTTAATTCTAGAAAATACTGCTCTTACAAGCATATAGATATGAACTTCCACTAATATCTCCCTCAATTTTATGAATACTTCAAAAGTTATCCTGGCAAAAAGCAAACATAAATTCTCATCACAATCTCCAAGCAAAAGTATAGTTCTCTCTGATTCAGTTCCAAGTGGGCTCAGTACACATTCTATCTTTAATGGTCTGGTAGGTACGAGTGGCTTTGAACTGCAAAGACTAAATAAGCATGGCAAGACATAAAAATAGTTCACAAAATATGGTGGAAAATTGAGTAAAATATCCAAGGCAATTAATCAAATTGCAAAGCCTAAATATCACAAACATTGTAGCATATATCATCTCTAATTTCAACGTAAAAATTGACTTCCATCGGATGACTGATGACCATCATCATACCAAATCAGAAAAGAAAGAGCCAATATAGACATAACTGACTGATAGTACCTCTCTGGTTCGAAACACCCATAGAAGGCCTTCATTGTTATGTAAACTTTGTTTGCTTACCAAGGCTCTCATTATTACATGCATGGCACAAGTTCCTACAAAGGAAATTGAAGTATTATGGAACATAGCACAAATACAGTGGCCGTCTTCATAAATTCACATTAAAGGATGTACACACACAAACACACAAGAAGGTGAAAAATCTTAGGCCAATAAAAGTGAACTCATAACACTAAAAGCATTAAATGGATACTTGCATTTTTATTTTGTAGTATAACTTCAAGTGAAGCTGTTGAACATTTATGTTTTCTGTTCTTCTTTTCTTTCCTTATTTTTAATACCTTTTAAGCAGATTAATGATAGTTTGGATAGGAGTAGAAGTGTAGAACATGTGGCTAATCAGTAGATTAGTGTTCTACAGTTCATTGCTTTATGTTTTCAGCTTTGAACACGATATTGAGTGTTTAAAAGCATGAGAGACCAAACCTGATTGTAGCTAAACAACAATTACAGATGAAACAACACAGTTTTCTGATGTGTAAGAACATATAACTCTATTTTAGATAATTAAAGTTTCTTATAATTTGACTTCTCCATCTAGCATATGAAGTAAGGCAGCCTAAGAAAATATAAGAGGGTCAATGCAATAAGTGAAATGATATTATATTTCGAAATTTACCTTCAGAGAGAGAGAGAATATCTTGAGAGAGAAAAAAAATAAATGAAAGGAAGAAAAACACATTGCCATTGTGAAGCATGTTAACAATGACAGTAGTTAGGGCTTAAATGCTTGATTAAAATGATTCATAAATAATTTTGTAACCCCAGTATATGAATGTTTCATTTGGGGAACAACTAATTTTTTCTGTTTAAGAAAAAAGAGATTTGATTTATGCATTTCCACACCCATTGATTGATAAAAAAAAAAAGAAAAAGGGAGTAAATATAAAACCAACAAAAGAGTTTGAACCAGAATGGTTTTGGCAAGATTCCATATCTCCTTCCTTCTCCTATGTCTTCAAAGCAATTAAGCAACTCACAAAAAAAAAAAAAAAAAAAAGGTCTAGATTACTCACCAACTGAATAGTTTTAAGGAGTCAACATCACATTTGCACCAAACTTAACATCTGAAGTTTCAGTTGCAGAAACTGGAGTACGGCATCTAACTGCTGCTGGATCCCATTCGATATCAAATGTGTAATCCAATCTTCTTCCCAAAGATTTTTCAGAAACTAGTGTTTCAGGTGTATGACGAGGATAAAGTACACCTTGCTTTGCTTTTACAAAGTCTGTGCAGTAGACATCTTCCCTATCACGAATACATGATATATTCTGTGCAGGAGTGCAGGTGAAATCAGAATAGTTATCACAGCCAGCGTCTCTGGAAGCCCTCTTTCTTATGATAGAAGGAGTATTTTTGTAACTCGTTGCTGAGTTCCTCAATAAAGATTCTGGACTGCTACCATTACTACTAAGTGCAAGGTTAGGGGGAGTAGAAAGGTAAATGTTACTCTTTGCATGCTTAAGGTGGTTGTCTAGACTTGGACATCCGCCTTGCTCCATCAAAGAAACCAAATCCTTCAATTGGGGATGCTTATACCACAAGTGACCATAAGAACTATAATCTGGATAAGGTGATTCTCCTACTTTGTTTTTCTTGCCAACTTGACTATTTTCCTCTCTGAATTCATGCATTGACAAACTTAAAAAGGAATTGTCTGATGCGCTCCCAAATCTTAAATCCTTGACACTCAGACCAAAATCCCTAGGCCTTTTAGGAGATTCAAACATACTCTTAGAAGTAACAGGAAGAATCTCAAGAGGAAGACAATTTCTTTTAGTAGACCAAGACGCATCCAAGGAAATGTCTGAAGAAGACTCTTTCAAAGAGTCACACGCGTTAGCATGATCATTTACCCCTTCTTCCAAAGATCTAAAAGTTCCTACCATAAAAGCTTTTGATTTTAAATGTTTCCTACCTAAATTAGCATTTCCAAGAACCAAATCCGTGGAACAAGTGTCAACAACATAGTCCAAGCCCTTTTTCTTGTCACCGGAAGATGTTTCACCAGAATTCTGTCTAGCTACTGCAATCTCAGCACACCCTGGTTTTGTTTCACAACAGTAGAAGTCAGGAGATAAAGTTCCCTGCATAATATCCAGCGGAAACCTGCGACGTGAAATTATATCCAATTTCTTCTTCACCAAGCAATTCCAGTGATTTTTTATAGCGTTATCAGTCCTGTCAACAGCCAAAAGATACAAAAAAGATAGCAGATTCAATCAAGTAAACATTCCTTTCGATAAATGCAAACAAACAAATAAATTGACTTGTGTAACTGTCTGTACATATTTAGCATTTTTCTCATCTTTAGACTCAACATGGCAATGCTGGGATAATTACAGCAATCTGTCAGTCATGCACTTTGTTAAATTGAGTTGCTAACAAAATAGACCCAAAAGAATCCAGCCTAATTTTCAAGGAAAAACCTCGGTACATATGCTAAGAGATGAGATTAAATATTAGATGATCCCCACCAGAAGATCAACCATCTAATTCATTTATTTCTTTTTGCAATGTGAAGTGTGAACCAAGAGTTTAAATTACAATTTAAAAAATAATCCAAAACATTATTTAATATTTAGTAAAAAAGAATGAATACCTCATATATTGGCGAACGCCTACTATATAATACAGATGAAGGCCAAAAGGTTATACTTTCATTAACTTGTGCCCAAAATTAGGTGTACTTGCCATTATGATATTGTTTGACAATTTGTCAGCAAATTCAATCAAGAAATAAAGATGCTGAATGTAAGAAGATCATTTTGTTCTCAATAAAAAAACTTTAAGATGCACAACAATTAAAAACAAAAAAAAAATTATCCTTTTAGAGCTCAAAAAGGCTTTGATGATCTTTTTGATAAGCAAAGTGGGAATGTCTCGCTCAACATCTATGTCTTGAAATTTCAAAAGTTATCCTCCCTTTCTTTTGCAATGGGAAAATTTCCTGTACCGTGAGCCATCATATTATCAACTAACCAATAGATTTTTACATGGGTATGGTAGAATCTATACAAGGGTTTCTACAATCTCATTAATAATTATGCCGAGGAACATGAGAAAGATCTTTCTGGAGAAATTCCAGTGTTCTTTTTTTGTTCTTTTCGGAAAAAATACTAATCTTCCAAACATACCTTCCAGGTAGAAACCTTGCTAGTTCTGCCCACTTGTTCCCATATATTTTGTGGTAGTAAGAAAGAATCAACTCCTCTTCTTTGGTCCACGCATCTTTCTTTATTGCCGGGTCTAAATGGTTATGCCACCTGAAAAATCATATATTAGCTCCAGAATTTAGAATTGTCATCACTTTAGCGCAAATCATGCATAATTGATGTACACGCAGCTAAGTATGTAAACTCAGCTACTTTTGAGTATTTAACTTCTTTATTTATAGCAGTAGAAGTACTTCTGAACCAAAAAATATACTCCCACCATTCCCAAAATAAATGTCATGCTTTCCTTTTTGGGTTGTCCCAAAATAAATTTCCACTTCCCTTTTTGAGACATTACAAATCTTAACTTTCCAAAGTTGTCCTTAAGTACTGAAAACTTTAGTTAACAACACTATCAATACGCATAGATACAATGCCCAAAAGATTAACTTGTTAGGATCGATTGAGTGAATTCCAACCTACATTTCCAATATTTTTTCAAATTTTTAGTGGTTCCATACATATTGAATCATAATAACAAATACTTAAGGGTAGATTACCCCAACCTCCCCTGAGGTTCGGGTAATAACCCGCAGATAGAACTTTTGCAAAAATAACTCTGGTACCATGTCAGAGTTAGAAACCCTAATATCACATAACAGTGTTACAAACTTTATGGTTTTACCCTCTCTAAATCATCCTATTTTCTTTTCTATACCCTTTTCTTTCTCAGTCAAAAATTTCACTAACACAATTCATCTCTCATAAAATTCTACTTTGCCATCACAGGCCTTACCACCACCTCTCTCTCTGTCTATCTATATATATATATATATATATATATATATATATATATATATATATATATCACACACTGTCTTGCTTAATCTGCTCTCTCCATAGCTCCCCCACCAACACCAACACCCACACCCCCACCCCAACCCACACACACACACAAACAAAATGCAAATCCCTCTGGAAACCCCAAATCAAATCAATCAGTGTGTGTATGCGTGGGTGCACATATATATATATATATATATATATGCATATATGTTTGCTGGTATGTGTGTATAATATATATATATATATATGAGCGCGCGTGTGCGCGCACACACATATGTATATGATTCTGGTGAAAATTTAATTGAAAACTTGCAACAGTCCATCATGAAATTTGTATTGTGCTTGGGATTGTGTGAATTTCTGGTGCTTAGTGGTGGTCAAAAATTAGGGGGTGGTCGTTTGGTTAGAGAGAGTTTAAGGGAGAGAGGAGAACATTATTTTGAAAGAAGAAACATTTTTTAAGTATTGCATTTATCCATGGATCATATGATGATTTCTTAAACAAATACTGCAAAAGATTCCCCAGAAAAATAGAGGAATAGATTTCAAACATAAGAAAGTAAACATTAAGATGACCATGTGAGTTCTCATGGCCAGCTATATGTCTAAGCCCACCCTGATAATAGTATTCATGGCCCACCTTGATTAAGGCACTTGCGGGCCCAGCAGGACCTATTCCTTGACAACACTAATGGAAAACACATGAAAATCCTAAACAATATGATGCTTCTACAACATAAGGAATAACATATGATGAACAACAATATTAAGACGTCAATCTATGAGAACCCCATAAATCAACTGAAAAACCCCAAATTTGCTGGAATGACCATGAAACTTTAGGAAAGGCCTCCACATTAGTATACAAATTCAAGGCGGTGCCTCTAATTACCAAATGACCAAATACAACATGCCCAATGCATGCCAGACGTTCCTTTCATCAATTAGGAATCACTATCACTTACCTTTCCCGACACTGCTTGCCTATGCGACCTGGTAAGGACTTTGCAATAACAGACCATTTCTTACAACCGTACTTCTCAACTAACTCAATGATACAATCATCCTCCTGAAGGTTCAAACAATAAACAGGATGTGAACAAATATCAATAATTTAACAAACATAAAATTCATGCAGTATTACTCCTGGCAACAAAAACAAGCAGTAGGACCACCTCCTTTGTCCAGGCTCCCTTGACAAGTTCAGGATTAAGAACCTTCTGCCAGTGATGCAAACACTGAACATCCGTCCGTCCAGGAATACATTCAGCTGTAGGGGAAAACAATTAAGTTATATCAACAGCCTTGAGAAAGGAAAAGATCAACTTGCTGTTATAGCAACTTCTGTTTGTATATTTTTGCAGTTAGAGAAAAGGAGGCTTCACAAGGGACATTATTGCACTGAAAATTTATTTCAAAGAATGATGTTCAACAGCAGGATTCTCTCATCACCCAATTGACATTGCATGTGGATATGGACCAGCAGCAAAAACCAGATAGTTTGCATAAATAACACATGTTATGCATACAGGTTATCCAATCAGTTGTGACACCATGCAAGAACATTTTCGGTTTATGGTCAAATGGAAACAATTAAGAGCCAGTTACAAGTCAATTAACGATGCATCAGCCACTCAAAAACTTTTAAACCTTGCTCCTAAAGAAAGTTTCATAATTGAAAATTCTAACCAAACTAATGACCAGCTCAGAAGAGCTATAAGTATGTCATAGAAAGCAGAAACAATTTCATGCTCACCTATTTTCTTCCAATTTTTCCCATTGAACTTTTTGACTTCTTCAGTTAACAGATTATCCTGTAGACAAGGAAAGAAGAAGTTCAAAAATGACTTTGAGTAAAGAAGAAGTTCAAATATAACTTTGAGTTTGATGCAGTATGGATGTAAATTCATCCAAGAATCAATATAGATTGTGAGAAGGATTGATCCCAACTAGCTTTATGTTGTTAATATTAGTTCCTTTCGTGATTTCCACATTTACCATATACCTAACCCAATTAACTTCATATTATATATATATATATATGAATATAGAATAGCAGACAAATTATATTTAACTGCTTGTTCAACAATGTAATGTGCACAATTAGATAACACTTAACAATTTCTTAGGAAGAAGGGTACACAATAGATCAACAAAAAAGCAATGGTCATTGCCAGCTATTGCATATAACTCGGCTAAAATCAATTTAGAACTTCTAACTACTGACCTCTTCCTCTGTCCAGCCTGCCTGTGACGAACGCCTAGTTGGACCAGTTGTCCTCGTACAACTGGGGAAAAAAGAGCAATTTAGAAAACCTGGAACAATTCACCCAGGGGGGGGGGAAAAAAAAATGAAAATGGACAAAATAAAGACACAAATTGGAAAAAAGAAAAGAAAATGAACAACATAAAGAGACAAATTAATTAAATTATAATAGTGTATAAAAAACTCAATGCATTAGCTGTTTTGCAATGCATGTGGTTCTAGTTGGGAACTTAAGAAATTCCCATGGTGTAGAACGAACTTATAACTGTATCACAAATTCACAATGCACCACCTAAAATTCAAATATGGAAGAATGTTAGGAATCAGAAGATAAAGCATCTGGATTAACTAAGAACTATGTAATTGATTTACTATGAAATAACCCCACGTATCCCTTTGATAGAGATTTATATTCAAATTAGACTAAATATAAAGGGAAGAAAAACCAAATCAACCTACCCGAAAACAGAGGGAGATCTCGGATTAACCGTGTCACAGCTGCTGTCAGACACCGAAGAACATGACATCAATCCAACTTCCTTCGTCAAATCCACAATAACCTCCTCCTCCTCCTTAACTTGTATCATGATCTCTACACCGACTCACTTCCCCAAACTACAATCACAAATTTGATCAAATCAACAACAAACAACAATTTAAAAAGAACAAAACGAAACCATCGCCGTTTCCCGAAAAGAAAATAAATTCAAACAAAGCCTAAAGTTCATGCATTTAACTTAATCCTCTGTTCCTTTGTGATAAAACTTCGTAAATTTTAACTGTTATTCATAGATCAAATAAGATTGTTCTGTTAAAACCAAAACGATTGAAATAAAAACACATATACACACACTCAAAGATTCAGAGCTAAACATATTATTTTCTGGCACTTTCTCAGCAACCAAACGAAGCAATAACTACAGCTAAAAACTCAATTTTCCCAACAATTCAGTCATCAAACGGAAGAATTGATGCGAGTAACAAAACGAACCTCAAAGGCGAAGTCTAGGGCTTCAGAGATCGTTGTTTAGATGAGTTCTGAAGCCGTAACCGTCAAGTTAAGAAAAGACAAAATAGAGAAGAAAAAAACGATGTTGGAGTTTCAGAAAATGAGATCCACCGAAACCGACCTTTTGATTAGGGTTTCATTTATGGAGACGTTAGAGAGAGAGAGAGAGAGAGAGACAGTTTGGAGAGATTGGGATGGACACGAAGTAGCGGGAAACTGAGATTGAAGACAAGTAATAGAGAGAGAGAGTCCAGAGTGAAGTGGCAAGTGTAACCGGCTTTAGTTCAATTTGTGTCCCTTTTAAACGCCTCCTAGAAAGCTTACGTTAGAAGGAGAGATGAAAGATTTTTTAACGGCTGGATTTCCGTGACGGCGTCTGTTTCCTTGACGTTAATCATCCGGGCAAACGTTTAGACTGCCTTATATTTATTTACAGATTTATCCTCCAGTGTATATGTTAATTACCCTGACGCTGAACTGTGTATGACCACTGTGCTTGGGGCTAAACAGTAAACATCCAATCCGTAGTTTAGTGTTAAGTTTGTTCAAATCCAAGCGTGAGCTTTGCGAGTGGTTGGACCTCGTGTTTGGAATCATGTGTCCCTCTGGAACAAAATCCTCACCTGTGCCACCGGGTGCCAGCCAGTGAGTTAAAATAGTAAAAACCAAAAATTAAAAAAGTAAAACTTTTATATATACGTGCACATATATGGGACTAAATCAAAACCAAATTAACTACTTGTTCCTTTTTCTTTTTTTTTTTCTCTCTCGACAATTCTCTACTACACAAACATTTCTCTAACCTACAACTTCTTTTACATTTCAATTTTCTCTTTACCAACATCCCACTTATTGTATAAATACATAAATAAATATATCTTAGTATAAACTATACATCACAACATTTTCCTAACCAACATCTCAATTTTCTCTTTACCAACATCCTAATTTTTTCCTTACCAACATCCCACAATTCATCTATTTATATTGTGATGTTAGTAAGGAGAAAGTTGAGATGTACGTTACGAAAATGTTGTGATGCAAGGCCAACGTCTCAACATTTTCCTAAGAAATGAATAGTGGACCGTGTTCCAGTCGGTGAGATACTTTGGGATGTGAGTTAAGAAAATGTTAGGCTGTACGTTAAAAAAATATTGAGATACACGTTAAGAAAATGTTGTTATATTGTTAAGGAGAAAGTTAGAATGTACAAGAAGTTGTAGGTTAGGGAACTGTTTATGTAGAGAAAAATATATGCGTATAAAATGTTTTGTCATGCTTAGTAAAATTTTGTTATTCAAAATTTGTCTTTTTTGTTCCTAGTGACGTGGCGCAAGGAGGAACACATGTCCCTCACTAGGTGGCACCGGCTCTCCTGTAGCACAAGAGAGGATTTTGTTCTGTGTCCCTCCTTCCCCTAATCATCATTAAGACATTAACTGGAAGTCGATCAATGACAAAGGAATAGTTGGGTTGGACATGTTTTGGTTTCAATATATCCAGAAGTGACGAAAATATTGATTAAGATAATTGACAATATAGCATTTCATGACCTATCTGACGTGGTCCAATCACAAATATATAAATAGTTTGTAATTACGGAATCTGAAAAGTGATAAATAAGAAAATCAGAAGGGTCATTATTTATCACTTTCTTAATTTGTGCATTTATAATTGGATCACATCAACTATAAGTAGGAATGACGTACTCACGTGTGGCAAGTCTTGTGCATTACTTTTGTACATTACTTTTTACAAACCAATGTAATATGATTTAGGGAGTGTGATATAAATATATCAGTTTATAATGCCGATATAAACTTGTCCTATGTTTCTTGCGAAGCCCTTTTGGGTTTTACTATTACAGAGGACTGTTTTTGGTTTTTGTTTTGTTTTGATAGAATGTTTCAATCCATGTTGAGTCCAAGAGTCCAATCTAATCCCAGCAGTAGTAAAAGAACTTGCACCCATGAATTCAAACAGGATTGAACTTGATATATTATGGATCTCATAGGCCCATTTATATATATATATATAGTGTGCGTGTGTGTGTATATATATATTTGTGACGTTGACTTGACTTCAGTCAAGTCGAGCAAAAATTTATATATATATATATTTGTAACGTTGACTTGACTTCAGTCAAGTCAAGCAAAAATTTCCAATAAAATTAAAATTAATTAACCACCCATTCCACTCTATACGGTATGCACCAACCCAGACCCTCCTTCAAAAACACCACTAAGCCTCTTACCCTCTCTCTCTCTCTCTCACACACACACACATACACACACACACACACTAACATGGGCTTCTTCAGGTGTCTGTCCATTTCTGCTTTCCTTCTCAAGGGCTTCTTCTTCACCGTCACTTATGGAGCCACCTTCCAAATCCAAAACAATTGCCTTTACACGGTCTGGGCTGCGGCCTCTCCCGGTGGTGGCATGCGGCTCAACCAAGGCGACACTTGGACCATAAATGTCCCGCCCGGCACAACGGGAGCCCGTATCTGGGCTCGAACCGATTGCAGCTTCAATGCAGCAGGCGTAGGCATGTGTCAAACCGGTGACTGCAATGGGCTCCTCGAATGCCAAGCCTATGGTGCAGCCCCTAACACACTGGCCGAGTACGCTCTAAATCAAGTCAACAATGTGGATTTTTTCGACATCTCCCTCGTTGACGGCTTCAATGTGCCAATGGAATTTGGTCCTACAACCAGCGGGTGCACCCGGGGCATCAAATGTAGAGCAGATATCAGCGGCCAGTGCCCAGAGGAATTGAAGGCTCCGGGTGGGTGCAACAACCCATGTACAGTGTTCAAGACCGATCAATACTGTTGTACTTCTGGAAAATGTGGTCCTACAAGTTACTCAAAGTTTTTCAAGGATAGGTGCCCAGATGCTTATAGTTACCCCCAAGATGATCAAACTAGCACATTTACATGCCCCGGGGGCACCAACTATAAGGTAGTGTTTTGCCCATTCTTTTGGTATGGTGTAATGGTTTGCTGATGAAGCACATACTGACTTGCCGTCTTGTATATTTTTTGCAACCTACTCTTGTAATGACACACACACACACACACACACACACACAAATAATAATAGTCTGTACAAGTTATTAAAAGAGCTGTGATCTAGCTGCAATTCATTCAAATCAATGAGCAGCTTTGAGAGAGACCCTTTCCACCAAAAATCCAGTGTTCGACTCAAACTACAAACAAAAAACACCAGATTGCAATCCAATGTGCACAATTAAACAATTGACTCTAAGCTCGTTTAGTTTGCTAAGCAAATAATATAAGAATATCAGATATTTGCTTCAATAGGTACCCCAAGAAACCAGAAAGATCGTAATTAACCAAGTCAAATACTAATTATTGGCTCACTTGTTGATTTGAACGTTTGTTAATTTTGAACTGAAAAAGAGAAAATAAAGGCATGACTTCAAGAAATTATCGTTTGCTTTCCTTTTCCTCCTTTTCGGAACCAACCAAGCAAGTATAGGGAATTGAGGAAAAGTTCAAACCAATAAAGAGAGAACATTTTGTACAGGAGACAGCTTCCTCCATCTCAAGGCAAACTGAGCAACAAAAACAGTAGAAGAATTGGCAATAGAAAGATCCTCTCACGGGGAGGTCCGGTTGTGGGAACTCAAGAGAGAGGAGAGAGATGCAAGAAGCAGAGCAAAAAGATAAACAAAAAGGCTTCAAGGTCTTGACATTATCATAGTTCAACAACTATTCACAGGAGACGGAAATAGCTAGCATAACAAAGGCACTGGTCCAAAAAATATATTCATATAGGTTGAGTTTAATCCTACATAACCTAGTGTTCAAAACAAGCATTCCTATCCAAAAACTGACCTTCAGCCTCAGGTACCGAACTTTTGGTGCAAAAAGCTAGGCATTTCTCCTTTTACTAGTTTATCTTGCTTGATATTTACTTGTTTGCCTCCAAGGTTGGTAGCTGAGGACCAAGATTACTGCAACTTGGTAAACTGACATTTCCATGAGTTAGGAGTGTATTATCCACTGGTAACTGCTGAACGCGCCTAGGTTTATCCAGTGCATCAATATAGGATGAAAAATCGTTTTGGAAAGAACCGGGTGAGCTAAAGTCTGGCAGTCTTGAGCAATCAGCACCCTGAGTAGGAGAAGCGTTAATTTCTTGGTCGAAATAACCTTGAATTGTCAGATTATCCTCGATAGGTATTTCCCCTGTAAGAGTCTTGAATGCAAATTCTAGGCACGGATCTGGCCAAGAATTCCCAAAAGTGGAGAAGAGTTCTGATTCTAGGTCCAGATCATATTTCTTATCAGCTTCTTGCCTTCCTGGTTGCTGTTCTAGAGCAGCTTGACCTTCTAGAGGCTTCTCATTCTTGTTAGATGGCTCTATATTTGATGGAGCTTCTGTGCCTATGGAAGCATGATGTGAAATTTTCGTCCGTAGCTCAGCCTCAAGCTGCTGGGGCATGCTAATGGCCAAACCATCCAAGGCTGAAACCAATGATGGATCAACTTTACTTATTTTAGAGTCGCTACCAACAGCTTGAAAAACTGGTTCGCCTAACCCCAAATCAGGCGCCTGGTAGGGTTTCAGCCCTGCAAGACGTTTCGAAGACCGACAAGACGAGTTAAGTGCAATTTTCCTCTTGCGTCTGCTTATGTCAATCTGATTTTTCCTCTTGCTGAGTTTTTCCATCCCATTCTGTGGTAATTTCACCTCTTGTAGGATGTCAGTAGCAGGGGTAGAAGCAGGCCCATTTTCAGCAAAAGGCCTCTTGCCATGGTTTCTATTCGAGCCTTTGGTTTGTGGCAGTGCTGAGCTGCTTGGAACAGAGCTTTCCTTACTTTCAGCAGTCTTCTCAATCACATCATCATGTAATTGTTTTTCTTCAAGAATCTCCTGCGTAAGACTTGAGGTAGCCATAGAATAAGCATAACCACTCTTGCCTTGCATTTTGTTTGAGCCCTCAGTATCTGGATCTACTGAGTTGCTCATATCACCACTTCCTTTACCTGCAGCCGATAGTTCTACTTTAGAAGCCAGTGTTGAATAATTATTAGCTATATTAATGACGACCCTAACTTGTTCCAACTTATACTGCATAACCGTAACTGCAGATGTGTATTGATTATTGATTTCTCACCTGAAAAAAGTCTTCTTCTGGTTGTATCCTTCTGCCCATTACTTGCCGATTGAGACTATTGATACATAAGACCAAAACAAATTCTCCAACAATTAGAATTTCCATCCAGTATATCTCAATGGTACAATGATAAAAGAAATGGAAATAAGATCCAATCTGAATATAAAACAAGTGGTGACATCCATATGGTAATATTTGCAACAAATGAGGCATAAGGTTCTAGTCAAGTAATTGATTTTCAGAAAATTCATGAAACAAATTATTGAGGAATGAGATGTGGTCTTTCTGGAATTTAAAACAGCATAAATAACAAAGAAACCAAGGAATTAATTCTTAATGGATAGTTCTCTCAATTTTCCAAATGGTAAAAGTAATTGTGCTTTTAGTTGACCACAAAAAGATGTTGAAGAATTGAAAGATAACTAACACATTGAAGCTCCCATGCAATAAATAAATAGAAAATGATTCTTAGGCCAATTACTTAAAATGATTTGCTTGACCTACAAATTTTGATTGGTCATGTATTCAAAATATAAGGAGTGGGACCCTCCACATTTTTAGATTTGGTAAAGATGACCAATCAAAAGCTATAGGTCCAACAATTCACTTTGAGATTTCGGCCCAAGTATCATTTCTCTAAATAAATATGAAGGTATGAGTTCCAGATGGTGCTAGTAATAACACACTAAGGATGCCATGTAATGAATAAACATAAACGTTTGAGTTTCTTCAGATGGAGTTGGTGAAGTCGTTAAATGATCATATGGGGCAAACGGAGAGTCCTTATTGCAGGGACTTCGCATCAGTCCTTAAAAATAAAATAGATTATTGGTAAAATGGGTTGAGTGTTATCCTACTTGTTGCCTTTATTTATAGGCAAAAGGGTCCAAAGTTGATGTATTCAGTTAATATTGCAATTTTAAGAACTGCAATATGAAATGGAGCAAAACTAAAAGGGATGTATGACTGATGATAATTTTTCATCTTCCAAATTTCAAAATGAAGGGATTTTGAAGCCCCGTCTATGAAACGTTTGTGCATGTTCTTTTGTACATGAATGCACAGAGTGGTGCATCATGTGTGAGAGTGACAATCCTGGGAATATCAAACACTGTCTAATCAAATGAAAGAGTTCCTAATTGACATCAATAAATAAGTAATCCCATTTAAATATTCACTGTCTTTCGAACTTTTCACAGCATTTATTTGTGCACTGCTTTAAACATTTCAATTCTCTTTAAAAGCAGTTCAGTTTAAGGTAATAGTGACTTACCATGCATTTCCAACATTTTTTAAATGCATACAGAAAATTGAATGCTGTTATGCATCACTGACATGCACCCAATTCTAGATTAACTAGAACTGGATTGTTTCTCAAATGGGCAGGAGCTCTCTATTTTGCTTGCAATGCCAGCTGTTCGCCTTTAGTTAGAAGCAGAAGTAGAGGCTTTTCCCTTCGAGCAATGATACAGTGACCGAATGATTTTGCCGAAAAATTGGCTGAATCCCACATGTCTTTACAAGTCTATCTGCTTAAGCAGTATTCCCAAGAAAACAATGTTCAATAAAGAAAAAGACATGTATACCCTCAATGTTTAGTCTTATCTTCGTTTGATACCCTTCAAATTTTCTCTCTAAAATGGAAATCGCAGAAGATGTGATTGAGAAGAAGAAGGGAAAAAAAGCATAATGGATGACGTGGCATAGCCACATTGGATTCGGTCAAATTTTCGGGAGAAATTTTCAGTCACAGTATCATTACTCTTTCCTTTATTAGTAAAGTTGCTCGAGGCCCGAAAATTAGAATAAAATCTAAAAGATCTGGTTGAATGGTAGAAGAATCTATGAGTTCGTTAGCAATCGATCTCATACTTCAATCAACCCCATAGGATCTCTTGTATATTCCACATTGCGAAGACACCAGCAATCACATGGTATTGTTTGTGCAAATTCAGTGACAACAGAACAAATTAAACAGGCCCACTGGTATACTGAAGAAAATTCACAACTACGGCAAAGAGAACAAATCATAATTAATTGAGGCACCAATCAGGGTGCACACTTACCGAGATATTGTCATTTAATAACTCCAGATCATTGATGGCACTTTTCCTTGGTTTGATTGCACAAGTACTGATGTCTCCAGTTTTCAGAAAGCGCAAAACATCCGGTTTGGAGCGGAATATATATCCGCTTACAGGATCTGTGTAAAACTGTAGGAAAATAGGATGCCATCAGAATTCAGAGAGTTCCAAAATGTAGGGGAATTGGAAGTATAGGACTTGAAAATTGCAACAAGTTGATAATGCAATCAGCAAAGATGCATGGTACTCATACATACTCATGCACATGTATAAATGCATGAGTGCGTGGATATATGTATATATATATATATATATAAAGAGAGAGAGAGAGAGATCCAATACCGGGTCTCTTCTGATCCCATTTGCCTTCTTTTGAATTTTGAATTCTTTTATCCACCCTGGTGGTAATCCGTCAGCTGTAACTCTCTCAACCACAATCTAGATAACACTAGAAGAATCAGAGCTTCCTATCTGACTAAACAAATGTAACAAAATAATGGATATATTTTGGAATAAACATTGTTCAGAATGGTTGCCAATGCTTACTTTCTTCTTTTTGGATGCATGACTCTTGCCTGTTGGAGATTTTAGATTTTGGGACACCTCTACATTCAAAGATGATTCGCCTCCAGCAGACTGATCAATGCAATGCTGAAACAAATACACATTTAATTGAGAGTATCAGTAAAATGTGAAGAATCCAAAATATATAGCAATTACAATTTTTCACAAATGATATGAAGTATCATAACCCTCTTCTTTAATTTTGGATAAAATGCATTTTTTTTCTCTTAGCTCCTGCTACAGTAATTTTTTACCACATAGACAAAATGAGCCAACACAAATCGATCTCACACTTCAATCAACCCCTTTGTACTTCGATCCAATCAATCAATTGAGCAAGAGGCTAATCTATTTTATCTTACACATTGCAAAGACACTACCAATCACATGGTTTTGTTTTTGCAAATTCAGTGACAACAGAAGAAATTAAACTAGCCCACTGGTATACTGAAGAAAATTCACAACTATGGCAAAGAGAACAAACACAATTAATTGAGGTACCAAGCAAGGTGCACACTTACCGAGATCTTGTCATTTAATAACTCCAGATCATTGATGGCTCTTTTCCTTGGTTTTATTGCACAAGTACTAATGTCCCCAGTTTCCAGAAAGCGCAAAACATCTGGTTTGGAGCGGAATATATATCCGCTCACAGGATCTGTGTAATACTGTAGGAAATAGGTCACCGTCAAAATTCAGAGAGTTTCAAAATGTAGGGGAATTCGTATGAGACTTGAAAACTGCAACAAGTTGATATTGCAATCAATGCAAGAGACAGCAAAGATGCATGGTACTCATACATATGCACGTGAATAGATGCATGAGTGCATGAATATATATGTGTGCGTGTGTGTGTATTTACATATATAGAGGGAGAGCAAGTAAAAACTGCCTGGAAATGGATCAAAAGTAGAAAGAAGATATCCAATACCGGGTCTTTTCTGATCCCATTTGCCTTCTTTTGAATTTTGATTTCTTTTATCCACCCTGGTGGTAATCCGTCAACTGTAACCCTCTCAACGACAATCTAGATAACACTTGAAGAATCAGAGCTTCCTATCTGACTAAACAAATGTAACAATATTTTTGGGTATATTTTGTAATAAAAATTGTTCAGAATGGTTGCCAATGCTTACTTTATTCTCTTCGGATGCACAACTCTCACCCGTAACAGATTTGAGATTTTGGGACCCCTTTGCATTCAAAGATGATTTACCTCCAGCAGACTGATCTATGTAATGCTGAAACAAACACACATTTAATTAAGAATATCGGTAAAATGTATCGAATCCAGAAAATATAGCAGTTACAATTTTTCTCAAATGTTATGAAGTATCATCACCCTATTCTTTAATTTTGGATAAAACGCACTTCTTCTCTTAGGTTCTCCCAAAGTAATTTTTTACTACATATACAAAATGCACTAACACAAATTTCATAAAGTTTAGTACCGAAAATACTTTTTCATTTTTCAATGCACATGCATATAGACAAAGTTTTAATAAAGATCTTTATGGTTATTGAAAGTTGAAGATTTGATCTAACTCATTGTCCCCCCATAATATCCACTTTAAACATACAACGTTCCTTTCAGAAATAGAATTGACCAGGATGTAGTAAAATGAGTTTGCTAGTTAATACTAGTATTTGGAGTGCTCACCGAATAATAAGCCACAAAATCCATGCATGCTAGGTATCAAGAAGTAAAAAGTAAAAGATACAACGGAACATACATTGCTAGCAGAGTGAACGTCTATTTCCTTCTGTTCGGATGCGCCACTGCTGCACTTTATAGTTTTGAGATATTGGTACACCGCTGGCTTGGAATAGAATTTGCATTTAGTTACAGGATCAATGAAACACTGCAATAAGAACAAAACTAAGTAAGATATCAAAAGAAATATGTTGGCACCGAAAAGAAAATATTGATATGAGGACATTTAATAAAAATATAAAATTAGCTCTCTCACAAGTTTGTCATACCTAACAATATTTTGATTGGCACAGGGCGCCACTAGTACTCAATAACATTTTGAGTGAAAGACTCTACATAAGTAAAAGTTTTGACATTGTTATTCTTAACCAACCTAAATTACCTATGTGCAGCTTATAAATAGTATTTTCAACATAACAAAAAATCACAGAATTTTAACTAATTGTTCCCCTGAGTGCCCATATTTGCATATTCCATGCTTGCTTCAATGTGCGTGTGGTATACCAGTAAGCTTTTCCAGTTGCAGAATGTAACACAAACAAAAAAATTTGCATCCTAGATCTATTGCAAAATCATGATCCAACAAATATTTAACTATCCCCCAAAGAACCAACATAAGATAAAATGTGGAAAAATTCCTTCCTGGTTGATATATATAAAATCAAAGCTAAACGCCAACTGGGAAGAAACTATGGTGGCAAGCATAAAAAAAGGATTACTTTTTTTGTGTTCCTTACCTTGTACTTCGTTCCAATTCGCGAACCTCTCTCTCGAGTCTTCACCTCCATGATCCAACCATTGGGTAACCATTCAGGAAAGCCATTTGTTTTCACTGCAAGCTGTCAACATTATATGATAGCCAAATTAAAAAAGGATAGAAACATGAGTGTGAGTGTGAGTGTGAGTGTGTGTGTGTGTGTGTGTGTGTGTGTGTGTGAGAGAGAGAGAGAGAGAGAGGGAGTATTAAAACATCTCAAACTCACTGGCGTAGGTTTCTTTTCTGAGCGTCTCTTGTTCTGCTTAGATACTGGTTTAGGTGTGCACACATTTCCCATTTTAACATTGTGAATGACGTCATTCTTGGAATAGAACTTCTGCTCCGTTTCCACATTGGAGTAACCCTACAAAAGCCAGATACAATATAAGGCCCTTATCAGCTCCAAAACTAGATCACATATGTTCCAGTTTAGTATGTTTCTCTTTTAATTGCATCTAACCAGTGTTAACTTGATTGAGCAATCATTAATTCTAAGTGTTTAATGTAGTTGCCATTATATTGTCAGGAATATGGAGGAAAATAGGGGAAGTTCAGGATTTACCATTAATATATGTGTGTGTATAAATATAGATGTATATTCTAAGGTTCCTTTTCTTGCTCTTACCTTTATAAACAACCAATAAGATTATAGATGCATTGTATTTCTAAAAGGAAACGAAATCAAGAACTATAAATATATAAAGAACTATTAAAAATAAGATATTAGTTTATCCAGATGTCTTGTATTTAGATTACTGATTAATTAGTAGTAGTTACTATTTTGACAAGTATGAGGAAATGATTCAGGAAATCCATTTGTTTTCACTGAAAGCTGTCAAAAGTATATGATAGCCAAATTTTAAAAAGGATAGAAACATGAGTTTTGTTGTGTGTGTGAACGGGTGAGAGACAGAGAAGGAGAGAGAGAGAGAGAGTATTAAAAATTCTCAAACTCACTGGCGTAGGTTTCTTTTCCGAGCGTCTCTGGTTCTTCTTACATATTGCTTTAGGTGTGCAAACATTTCCCATTTTAACATAGCGAATGACATCATTCTCGGAATAGAACTTCTGCCCAGTTTCCACATTGGAGTAACACTACAAAAGCCAGATACAATACAAGGCCCTTGTCAGCTCCAAAACTAGAAGTATCCAATCACACATGTTCCAGTTGAGTATGTTTCTCTTTTAATTGCCTCCAACCAGTGTTAAATTAATTGAGCTAACGTAAATTATAAGTGTTTAATGTAGTTGTAATTATATTGTCAGGAATATGGAATAAGAGATGAGAAGTTCAGAAATTACCATTATATATATAGATGTATAATTCTTAAGTTCATTTTCTTGCTCTTACCATTATAAACAACGAAAAAGAGTGCAGATATAATTTATTTCTAAAAGGAAATGAAATCAAGAACTATAAATATCTACAGAAGCATAAACTATAAAACACTAGTTTATTAGATATCTTGTATTTAGATTACCAATTAATACTTAGTAGTTACTATTTTGGCAAGTACGATATATACTAAATTACTAGTATATATATTAAGTTAAATTGTCAATATTTGACTTATAATTTGATTATGATTGATCAATCTAGGATATGTACTTTCATGCCATTTGAGAACCCACATTGTTGGAAGATCGTATTATTCAGATTGGTTCAAATTCTGCAAACATCCTTGAAACTAATAGACATGAGGTGGCTTGTAAGGTTTTTGAAAAGATTATTAATAGTGGGATCGCACCTCTGAAGGAAAACTTGGCAAATTTGAGGGTCACTTTTACCAAGTGAACTTGTTGACAAAGAAGTTATCTAACAGATGGAGACATCTTCAAGATACTAATAAGAAAAAGAGGGAGTAAGTAAAGTCTCAACCATGACGAACTTTTGATAATGATGCATAAGAGGACTGTGTTGACTTAGGAGATGACTGGCTTGACAGAAAATTTTGAGACTGTACAGCAAGAATATGAGGAGGGACAATAGTTAACAATGTTAGTGGAACAACATGTTCAAAATAAGATGCAGGAGGTAGCTTCCATTCTTCTAGATCTTCTAGTGCAGAGAGTAGTTGGAGTAAAGGATGAGGTAACTCATGGCTGGTAGAGGTATTGCATCTTAATTTAGTTGATCCAGTGATGATTGTGATCCTGGTGTGAGAGTGGTTGTAGCTGGATTGGTTTTTAATACTCTGAAGTGAACGAAAGGAAATTAGATTGAATTCTAGTTACATACACAACCACGAATAATGGACGAGAAAATTTTAGAAGTCACTTTGAATTGGAAAATGGTGAAACTGCAATTTGTACTAACAAATTGTCTCACAAAAAGTATTATCCGAACCCCAACCAGTTGGGGTTCGGCTATATGTCCCGTTTGACAATTCCGTTTTATATCCCAACACCACATAAGATGCAGCATGTCTATCCCAACAGCACAAAGTAGGTTTACCATTTTATCTGTGCATATTTCTCAACAGCACCAATAAATAGTAAAATGCAAATAAGAGTTATGGCATTCAATTGCATAATGCAGTCACCATGATTGAATAAATATAAGTTATTGTAGCCACAATGTTGTACTTAACCATCATAGAGGCATAATCTCCCCAAAAATTAGAAAAATTTTCTAACCCATAAAGATGGAACCTCCCTTTCTTTTACTGAATCACCAAAATTCTCCATAAGAAGACCAATATTTTACTAGTTGCGATGGAAGTGAACAACAATCAGGGCATATCATAGCATTGACGTTAATTTAAAAAATCTGGACACAAACTCTCCAAAATCATCATTGCATTAACTCGATTCTTCTATAAGCACATTGCGTTGACTGATACACAACTTACCTTCCCTCAAAAAGCCATACATGTAATATGTCCATATACAATGTGTATACGTATGCATTCCTAATTTGCATATACAATTTCCTGAACACGCAGCTAGTATTATACTACTAAAACAAGAAAAGCAGAGTCATCCACACCAACAGAGAATCACTTCAACAAATCAAGTAATGAGAACCACCAGTCTCTGATCAAAAACCTCGATTACTTAACGGCCAGTTACAGAAATCACTTTCAATCTTGTATATATCGATGCACTAGTACCAATCCTCACTATATATGTATATTCGATAAGGGATCTTTACAATATTTCAAAATCAAGACTCTCAACTGAAACAAAATCCCTAACATTCAAGAAATATGAGCGAAAATGAGCTAAATAAAGTTCGATTACCGTAACTCTGCGACCATTCTTGATATGGACTTGCAGCGTCCAGCCGGCGGGAAGCCGTCCCGGCGAACTTTCAGCCACCATTACGCCGGTACCTTGCGATTCCGATTACTGATTGCCGGTGAAGGACTTCTTTCTCCGATGATCAACTCTCTCTTTCTCTCTATACATGCAATATTCTCTCTCTAGATACTAGCGAAGCTTTTTTCTCGCGCTGAGAGTAGGAGGTATTGTTAAAATAGTGCCGGGGACTATAACAAGAAGGAAGAGGAGGGCAGTTCGATAACACGTGTTGCGAAAAGTATCGTGTTGATATGAATATATACCAGCAACGTGTCGGATGCTAACATTTAAAATGAAAGTTCGAGAGAGAGAGAAATTGTCTCTGCTACGGTGCTACTCTCTTCGGGGACTCCGGTTCCCATGCGCGGTCGGAATTTCTATAGGAATACGCCACATCACGCCAATCGAAATACATCATTTTACAATTCTAAAATAAAATTCTACTAAATATTAATATTTCGTAATTATGATAAAATAAATTTTAAAATTTATAATGTGGAGTTGCGTTGCGTGATACAGTGATACTACGAAAAAGTGTACTGGGGAATAATTTTGATTCCTTCAATTCTTGTATGAAGTATTATTTTTTTATTTTGGATAAATTACACTCACACCCATTAAATTTGAATTAAAGACCATTAGCTATAAGTTAGGTACTTTTTGATAGGGCTGTAATTCGGGCGGGCCTAACCCGAATTTACCCGAGCCCAGCCCGCATTTTTATGGGCTTGGACAATGATTTTTTGTTATGGGCTGGGCCTAGGTTGAATTTATTGAGCCCGAATTTAATTCGGGCTAGGCTCAGGTAGATATGTTATGAAGCCCGAAGCCCAACCCGAACCCGCCCGAAATGCTAAACCCCGTTCAACCCGCTGAAAGAACCGGAACATCAATCAGATATCTTTACCATTAACATCTTTAGTGAATGTTGTGACTATGTATCACCAACTTTTTTTCATATATTTTTTAAAGTTTTTAATTTAATTTAATTTGCGATACTATCTTCACATTCTTCACATCTGTTTTTATTTTTATTTTTTATGTCATTAACAGTATCAGAAAATTCAATATCAAAAAGATATCTTTACCACCATATAGAAGGGCTAAAGAAATTGTTTTTGTTAGTTTTGTTTTGATGGTGAGTATATAAGATAAGAGAGAACTCGGTTTGTTTTGTAATGTATTGTAACTTTGAACCTTATGCAACTACTCCAATTCCAAGCATTAATAAAATTGAGAGTCTGATTTAAAAGCCTAAGAAAACCCGAATAAAGAACCCGAGTTTAGCCTGTGTTTTAAAAATTAAGTATGGGCTGGGCTTGGGCTCACTAGGCGAAATTATACCTGGGCTTGGGCTGGGCTTGGGTTAAAGATTTATACGTTGGGCTAAGCCCGAGTTAAGTGTCCAACCCGCCCAAGTTGCAGCCTTACTTTTTGGACAATGACACTCCCAATTTGATAAATTGAACAATGACACTCCAAATCAAAAGTTTGGATTAAAGACAGATAGTTACAACTTAAGTACTTTTTGAAAAATAACACTCTTAATTTGGTAAATTGAATAATATCACCCCAAATCAAGGTAAAAATACTACCTTATTATCATTTAACTTATTAATCGACTTATTTAAATTATAAATTTACTATTTTAACTTTTTCAAAACATTTTAATGAGCAAAATTAACCTTCACATGCAACTTTATTTTGACAATTATGATCACTGACTTTAGGGAGAAACTATATCCACACTCTTTTGATTCTTCAAAATTATGTGATCTTTATTTATCAATAAATAGTCCTAAATTACCCATAATAATTGAATAATAACTATTTTTTTTTCTTTTTCAAAGGTAATAACTAAAGACTTTGGACCACATGATTGTAGATAGATAGGGTTTTTTTTTTTTTTTTTGGCAAGAAATTCATACACCTAAACTTTAAAACAAACTTATAATACTATCATAATTAATATATATTATATACTGCTACAAGTATTACTACCTATTCATGAAAATATTAATTGCCTTATTTTTTTTATATGGTTCTTGGTTTCGTTAAAGATTTAATTTTTGCTATTAAACATATGTGGGTTGAAAGTTGTGCCAAAATGACAATGTTATTATATTTTCCATCACTTCTCAATATCAAATTTTTTATTTCTAATAAGAGGTTGATAAAAGTTAATATTTAATAATACTATATCAATAAAAATATATATCACATGTTCATTTTGCGAACATGATGCTTTTTGTTGACAGTCTATAATTTGTAATTAATTTGATATAGTGTAAATTGTGGGATGTAACTTATTCAGAAACATTTCAATGGACTGAATTAAAATACTCTGAATGTGGAAATAGTAAATTCATAATTTAAATAAGTCAGTTCACAAGTTAAAGAGTAATGAGATACTTTTACCTTGATTTGAAGTATCATTGTACAATTTATCAAACTTAAGGGATGTCATTATTAACAAAGTGCTTAAATTGTAGTTATTTATCTTTAACTCAAATCCGAGAGGGTGAGTGCAATTTACCCTTTTATTTTGTTTAAGAGTGGTTATTTTACATTTTAACTTTAAAGTGCTTTTACTTTTTAAATTTAGTACTGGTGTAACGACTCGAACTCGGAGGCCCGAACCGTTAGCCGGGTCCTGACTCGAACCCGAGGTCACCTAGGTCAAACTCATCATTTCTAACGTCAAACGTCACTTTTTGGGTCATCATTAAGTTCTCATAAGGGCTCAAAACAAATTCCCAACAGTCGAGAGTAGATAACCAAAGAGGAAAGAGCAAAGTGGACCAAACAGGTGCACTTCGGTCGACCGAAGTGGAGCTTCGGTCGGCTGAAGCAAGCCTTCCAGAACCGGTCGTCCAAAACCCCATTTCGGTAGACCGAAAAGAGAAATCCTGAGAGTACAAAGATGGTTCGGTCGACCGAACCCTATTTTGGTCGACCAAAATAGGAGATCCCGAGAGTGTGAAGAAGAATCGGTCAACCGAAGTGCCATTTCGGTCGACTGAAATGGCTCTGCCGAGCCTAGAACCTGCTTCTATGAAACTGCACTGTGGAGTTATGGAGGAACTTGAATGAGAACTTTAAAATGATCTAAACTTGCTTTAAACATTCAAAAAATGCATCATACTCTAATCATGGACAAAATACCAACCTTTGATCCATTTACAACATCATTCAATTCAATTACATGGAATTTATACATAGTATTTGCAAGTGACTTAATTTACAAAAATTATGAAATCAAGGTGCATAGCAAATTTTCAAGGCCAAGACGGCTAGCTTAGAATACATTTCACAAAATGGAGCTTTTAAAATAATGGCTTATACCAAAAGTAACGAAATGGTCTTCTAGCAACTCTTAAGTTTGCGGTGGATTGTCATCCACCAACCCCTTGCCATTTCCTGAAAAATGTTAACTATAAGGAGGTGATCAATTTGCTCAGTAGGTGGTGCCTAAGACACACCTCTTGTGTCCCCGTGAATCCATACAAAGAAAGGAGCAATAGGGACAGGGATCATAGTATGTCGGGAAATAAAACATGATATCCAGTTTCAACATAGACACTATGGAGCAATGAAGTGCAATGCATGTCGATATCGCTCCCCATTTTCGTCATTCAAATCCATCACTTTTCAAACCGTTAATGTAACCCCCTTTGGTACTCCCTCAGCACCGAGAGAAGGATTGGCTACTATCCCTGACCGTTGGTACCTCCGCAGCTTCATTATGGGGCCCAGATAGCTCAACCACGCTAGGGCAATCTCCCTAATTCTCTCTAGGTTACATTAACCTTCCGGCCCTTTGGTGACTCCGCGGCGACCATGTTTTTCATAAAAACATTTCAATAAAAACTTTATCCCAAAAATTCCCCTTTTCTTTTCAAAACACTTGTTCCCATTTTCTTCCCAATGCTATGTATGAATGCTACATGCCATGAGATTCTCTATTCTACAACATGTTCAAAATTGAAACTTTACAATATGCTATACAAGAACTTCTAAAGAAATTACCACATCTTTACATTCGATCCTAGTCTAGCATAGTAAGCATAGACAACTGGAATTTATCACATACAAGTAAGCAATTGCAAGTATTATCAATTAAGCACATGGTCACATACTTCATTTACAACACATTATTCATCTTGGAAGAATATTAACAAAATCAACATGCAAATCAACAAATTGAGAGGAAAACTCACAAAAGAACAAGAAGTTCTATGGATTAGAAACCCCTACCTCAAAATTGAGCAAAACCCTTGAAATGGGTCAAGAATTTCGAAATTCAAAGGGAGCATCAAATCTGAAATTGTTGGTACTTACGCGTAGAGCTCGTCGTACTATCCGTTTTGCCACAAATGGCCCTAAAAAATTCCGAGTATTGAAGATGGGATCTAACTTCAATGTTTTAATTGAAAAAGAAAAAGAAAAAGAAAAAGCAAGCTTGAGAGAAGGAAAGAAAGACCAGCGGGAGAGAGAGGAAGAAATGAGAGACCAATATGGTCTCTTGGCCTTAAGTGGTTTAGTGGTGGGTCCCACCCATTTTCTTTTCTTTTGTTCCAATTTTACACCACATGCATCTATGAATGCACATTTAACATGAAGTCACTTAAAACATAATAAATAAAAATAATTACGATGTAAATAGACCCAATCAAAATACCCGTACGTGACAATATCGATAACAGGTCCCACGCGGGACCGTCCGGCCCGAAAAACGGTAAAAAATGCGAAAATGATCAACCCTGCATTCCCAAGAGTCTTGGACTCAATGGAATGCCCCAACCAACCATCCGACATGCCCTGCACACCACCCGGTGTCCGGTACGTGAAACGTAAAAGAACGAAAATACCTTTGCATCAACGAAAAATTTCAGAAATTGAAAAATGGCGAAAATTGAAAATATCACAATCTACCATCCTTAAAGAGATTTCGTTCTCGAAATCTACCCTCCTTAAAAGAAGGAGGCCCACAGCCACACTCTTTCCGAGAACACCTTACAAAATCCCGAGACTAAGAATTCAACAACCATACGGCCTTTGACACCAGCGCCAACAGGCAATCACACACCGTCGTCAGAAAATCCAATGATCACCAATGTATGAGGGAACTCATCACTCACAACATCATACACAAAACTCACTGAATTCCATACTCGACTTAAGACCAACACTGGTCTCCTCTACAACACTATATAATACTTTGGGGCTCGGAAAAGAATGGTCACAAGACCCCTGATCATGACAACATCCTATCACAACTCATCCTTCTAAGGGGCAATCTAGACCCCAAATGAGGAACCTCATCCATCACACAATCAGACTCAAACTCCATCTACATA